GCTCTTGGTTCAGCTGCGGTAGAGGTTCGAAGTTCAGATGTTCAGGGCTTTTCCTTCACCGCATGCCAGATGTTCAGGATGTTGTAGGCTGAGTGGAAAAGACAGGAGTTTTGGAAGGCTGCGATGAAACAGGATGAAACCGTAGCCAAACCAACCATGTCCAAAATAAGGTTCCATCATATTCCATCTGCGATCCTTGGAGGGGTCCAATTCTGACCTCACGAAAGAGTTCGTAACCTCACGGATTTGCATTGATTGTACTTGGCCAAAAGGTTTATCCATCCAAGGGTTCAGGGTTCATTTGTGGGCAACTGGCAACTGGGCCAAAATAGATTCAAAACCACATTGATCCACATTGTATACCCCTGTCGAAAGTTTGGAAAGGTTCGACATGTCCAAAAGAACCACAGCTGTGGACCACACCGACAAATGTCCGAAATCATAGAAACCCGGCTCTGGTCTGATCGCTGGCAAATTGCTCCTCGTGGGGTCTGTCCTGAAAGCCTCAAAAAATGCCTGGTTCACCTTGATGACTTCGCGATGGTCATCTGAATTGAAGACTATCACTATCACATTAACTTGACAAACTTGACACCCTTGCGGACCAACATGGATCCTGAAACTACTACTGGTTTGCAATGGTTTGCAACAGAACATCTTGTCTTTATTTCTCCATGGCATGGGTTTTCAGGCTCATCTTAATAAGGTCTTTAGGAGGGATCACAGTTATGATTCATGATTGTGCCACGTGGATTGGATCAGTTTAACAGCTCGAGCACTCCGCTCGACTTCCTCATGCGAGGAACAAACTTCTTGCACATGTGCGCGGACCGACTACACTTCGAATGCCAGGTGTCACAGGCAAAGTCAGGAGTCATCATCCAGGTAGAGGGCACTTGTCCATTCGGAAGATCCCAAACCATCGCAGCCATGCAAACTGGTGGAACTGCACACAGAAAATCACTTGGCGGAGAAGAGTCGTCCAAAACTCGAGACTATGCAAAGCCGAAACTCGAGATGTGTAAGAATAGAGGGTTGGTCGACTCACAATGCTTCGATCAATCTTTGCAAACACATTGAGACTCATGATTCATGATCCAATAAGATCCAATGATCCACCATGATGATGCTCACCTGAAATGCACCTATAGACCTGCTTCAAACAAACCATCATGGCACGGCGCAGCCGCCGCTTCGCAGAGGCGCAGCCGAAGAAATGGCAAAGGTTCCAAGCATTTGTCAAAGCATGGGTGTCCTCTTAGTTCGATAGCAGCGAAAGCGCTTGCTCTGGAGTCCCTGGAGTGCTTTATTTTGGTTGGTTGAAGTTGAGGACCTTTGCTGAGAATTTGGAGGTGTGGAGCTACTTCAGTTGGGAGTCCATGCTTTTTTTCTACTGAGGAGTTTTTATTGTCAGAATCATGTCGGACGTGTTTCTGAAGGGCCTCGATACCTTTGATCAGCTGCAAGTTGGTCCCGTAATATTGAGGAGTGCTGAATTGCCTTCAATGCTTCTGACTCTAATCCGGTCCATCACCAACTGGTACTTTCAGCGTAAAAAATGATCCTGTTTGAATATGTGTGCGTGAACCCGACGAGTTGTCCTGGGTGCGACCTTGATGCCTTCAAATTCCAATTCCTTCTACTCCACCGCATTGCTGAACATCCACTGAGTGTTGCTTCAAAACCTACAACAACTCATTCTAATTTTCGAGACCAAGGACACCCATCACGGAGGCCAACCTCTGCTCAAAAATGTGGTTAATTCGACGACCTGCATTTTTAACTGTTCAAAGTCTCCCGCCAGCCATGCTGAGCGCTATTCCACAATCATCAAAACTCTGGGAAGTTCAAAATGTTGAGTATTCGGGCACTGCAGGAGCTCGCAGCTTACGGATTGAACGCGATTGTCAATCTGGAAGACTATTTGCTGAGCTGTTGCCTTCAACGACGCTTCAGCTCACTCAATCAGTCAGCGGGCACGTTGAACCGTGCCCGGCAGCTCTGGACTTCACCACTGCACTGATTTTTTGGGCTGCTGATTTCTCAAAGCATTGAACAGAAAAATGTCACTTCTGTGGTGAAAAAGCTATAAACATTCTGTGGTTCTTAGGAATACACAAATGTATGCAGCTAAAGCTATAGACAATATTTTGGTTCCAAGCCTGGATGTGGCGACATCCAAAAGGCAACCTGTTGGAAGTCGTAGAATTACAAGCTGTCCAGGTTGAGACGATTACAGCAACTTTTATGTTTATAGATGTATACGCTGTTGAGCGCCCTCCCCAAGCGCCAAACTCCCTGTGCACAGCTGGCGTGCATTGGGCTAGGTTCGATCGAAATCGGAGAATCAACAGGGGACTGAAAAAAGGCCTCTCAGGCTTCCAAAAGGTGTGTGACAAAGCCTAAGTTAGTGTATCACAAACATAGAACTAAAAACGCATGGGCAGCTGTGTTAGCTGCTGAAAACACCAAAGAATTGCATTTAACACCCTACTGAATGTGTAGAACTTTAAACACTAGACTTTATATATAATTAGTACCAGCACCCCGGAAAGGGTGGTTTACAGACACCCCTGACTCGACTATGGCGCTGGTATTAATTAGTTGTGCAACAAACATGCTAATGGAGCCCATGTAATCTGTAGACAGAAAGTAGCTATCCAGAATGAAACAGGGTCGCAACACCTAGCCTCATGCCACTAACTGGGCAACCTACATCGTCCCAAGATCATGTGGATTGCGTGGTAGATGCTGTACTACTCTCTTCCTGGTAACACAAATGTACATGACGGAAAGAACACCCTATTGCAAACAAGTTTCTTACTATTCCTATTTCGAGCGGTTTCTTACTGTTAATGTTTTTTGCCGTGGGATGCCGTGGGCCAAGTCTGGAAAAACATAAACCGCACCTCCACTCAAATATCTATGATGTGGTATGACTCGTTCTGGGTCTTTCCACCCTGTTCTCGCGGGGGGGTGTCGGTGACTGGGGTCTCAGTTGTCGAATGGGTTACTCTTCATTCGGAAATTTTCTGAAAGCCTGGACACATTCCTACCACCATTCTGGAACCCCAGTCAGTTGTCCTTAGAGCCACCTGGGGTCTCCGGCATCAATCCGGGCAAACCGAACTGAACACCTATGACCTCCAGTGGGGAAACCTGGCCCGTTTCGAAGGTTGGGCAGGTGGTCCACTGAACTCCTGGGTAGGATGTTAAGGGTTGACATGTACACTCCCTGAAACAATCATGGAAGTGAAGACTGTTTTCCTGTACAAAACCGGTGGTTTTCCACTTCCATGATTGTTTCAGGGAGGGTAACATATACAGTAGATCAACTAATGACTTGGTGGCCCAAATGAAATGCCAGAAGGATCCTGGTAAAAATCCACGCAGAAGGTTTCATCCAAAACTTGCGAAAAGAAAACGTGCGCCCTGGAGCGCCCTGGAAGGGGTGCTGCTGCAGCCCGTGATTCTCAAAGGTTTGGAATGGAGCGTGCGCAAGCATTGACATGAAAAGCACCAAGACATCAGCACCAAAACATTTGTTGACCTTGCAAAAAGGAGGGGTCTGAATTGGTGTGACCTGTGCTTCTTTGCGATCCCCACTGCGCTTCACTGTGGCATGGGATGTTGAGAATTCTGTCAGCAGTAGCTCCCATTTTTCCAACAGTTCACGATCTCACATATACATCATGCTACCATGATACCAAAGACCTTTGAACAAGTATAGGGATGGCCAGGGTATACAAACCACATTTCACCCACTGATCTGTTCACACACTGCAGAGTTGTGTAACAGCTGATCAGCTGAACAAGTTTGGGCATCGCAACAAAAAGACCCTACTGGAGTTGCTCCTGCAACACCTATGGGATGAGGGATGTGATCCATGATCCTTCTCCGTTGCAGCCCGTCGCGTGGGCACGGGGGGGGTGCATGTTGAAAGCTGACGCCATGTGCTATTGTCGATGACTCCATGGAAAAGGCAAGCACGTGAAATCACCGACGGATGCCGATGGATGCGCTGGTGTTCACTCGTCCACAAAGTGAAGCCCAGCCGAGGGGTTCTCCGTTTTGGATTCTAGTAGAAATGCCCTTTGTTCCTAGTAGCTATTTGTTCCTAGTAGTAAGGCCAGGAGCCCCTACTTACTATCGTCCTTGCTCCTAGTAGTAAGGCCAGGAGCCCCTAGTAGCATCCTTGCTCTAGATGTAAAATGATGTAAATGTACAGTCGAGCAAGTGCAGGGTGTGTACGTACTGTGCCAGTCAACAGCCGTGATCCATGGGAGAAGTGTGTAGCCCTGTATATAGCGTAGCCCTGTGTCTACGGGTCCTATCCGTGGGAACGCGAACCTTCAGCAACAGCGCCAGCTTGCACGACTTCATTCCAAATCCTTGAGCAACATGTGGAACATTGAAACGTCCCAACACGGCTCACCGATAGCTGAACTGACACGGAGTTCTTCAGGCCATCTCTAATCTCTACTTGGACTTATCGAAGGGACTCTCAGCACCGTGCGATATGTAGGGACCTTGCAAAGTAGGGGCTCAGGCCCTCAAGTGGTGGCTCTCACCTGAAGACATCCTGGCTGAGAAAAAAAGAAACAACTTGAATGTCCAATAACTGGCCTCATGAGTGAGGGACCCACACTCAATGAATCACATCACTTCGGTGCACATCTATAGTCCTAAAATGTACAAAAAGATCCATGGCACTCGCACTCTTTCGATGTCTGGGATTTTTCGGGGGGGCTGAGCAACCTAGTCGTCTCACACTCTTGACAACTCCTTGGTCTTCAGCTCCAAAGTACAGGGACCCACAGGACCCACAGTCCATAGTTCTTTCCCTTCGGCAATCGGTTTTCATTGCAGAAACTCTTCAACTCCACGTCACCAAACTCCTCCTCCAAGGTGTTAGCTCTACAGCTTAAATAGCTAGATCCTGTTGAGATCTGTTGAGTAAGTAGTGAGCCGTGTCGGAAGCTAGCGTCTGCCATTTCGTTCAGTCGCTGTGATTGCTGACGGAGCTGTTCTTGGTCACACTGCTGGTCCTTGTTTCAAGCTGTTCGGAACTCATCCCGGTTTCTCACCCATGGGAAAAGGATGACTAAAACTTGGAGTTGGGTCAATACAACTATATCCACTATCACCACTATAGACAGTGGAACAGCAAAGCAAGCACACCCAAAAGCCAGTTGACGTCTTGGGAAGTGTCCACGCTAGGTTCATGTCAGTGGGTCATTCTTGGACAGCCACGGAAAACATAGCGACCACAACCATGACCATTTATCTAAGGAGGTCCTCTTGTGAAATCCAACAACTTGCTGGATGAACAAACAAAACATCGACCCGATCGCAAGGAGATCCTCACATGTCTTTTTCTTGGACCGTGACAACGGCAATGACAAATTTGTTAAACAAAGAACAACTCTACACCAGTACAACACACACGCAATAACCATTTTGCTGGCCCCACGTCTCTTTACACTTTTCATCTTGTCACCCCCCCCCCAAAAAAAAAAAAAATCGGTCACGCAAGTTCGCTTGGCGCAGCTAGGCTCTTCGACAGCATCTAAGTCTGAGCCCCACCAGTGGAGAAACACGTCGCATGGTTTGGGAGAAGCCACCCATTTCGTGCCCGCCTCGTGCCAACCTCCTTTCTTGGCGGCTGGAAAGTTTACTCATTGAATCCACCAGTCCGGGGTTCCTGAGGGGGGCCAGTCCAGCGTCCAAATTGTTTCGCTGGGATTCACCCAAACACACCATGTATAAGAAAGCACATGTACCAGTCTCATGGAGTGTCTGGGCAAGTGGACATCTGAAATTCCCCAAGACACTGGTCGCTCTCGGTGCCCTTGGCGCTGCCTTTCATCAACTTCTTCAAGGAATGCGCAATCCTACAGAATCGGTCTCCGTAACGGAAAAGGGCTGGTGGATTTCAGATCTGCGCACCGGACAGAAAGATTAGTAACAAGAGCATCGCTATTAGTAACAAGTGCATCGCTACTAGTAACAAGAAGCTACTTGTAGCCCGTTTGCTACTAGTAGTGATTATCATGCACTTGTTACTAGTAGCAATGCACTTGCTACTAGTAGCACCAAACTACTAGTAACAAGTCGTGCATCGCTAAAATTCAACATGGAGCTCTGAACACGATTTCTGGCCACTTGCAGCACAGGTGAATTGGGAGTGCCTGTCGGGCAACCAGTCTGTGGTCTTCCAGAAGTGGAGAAAACAACGATATTCACATTGTTTGGGTAGTTCCAGATGATGGCTTTGATGTCTTTCTTTCACAAACAACCACTCAAGTCAGCTGAGCTGGCCAGTCAGCGGCAACAGGAGGGAGCTATCAAGTAGCTGTACGGATGTTGGGGCTAATTGGATCGCCTTGGATCTGTGCCAAGTCAAATAAAAAGGATCAAGGATGATTGAGAGCCATGACGTTAGGCATGATAAAGATTATAAAGATTGGATGATTTGATAATGTTTGATGATGATGATGATGATGGTGATGATGATCATGACGACGGCGACGACGACGACGACGACATCACTGGGAAGTGATTGACCTAGATTGACACTTGCCACACATGTATCTTGGTTCCTCGATTTACAAAAACATACAAAAAGACCAAACACCTTGGACATTGGGGATAATTAACATGAGCAATGCCTTTGGTGAATTGGGGTATTTAGTGTTTAGGGTACACCAGCACCAAGCGCAGGAACAGCTAGCCCCAAGAGAACTAGGGACTATCAACCACTTAGGGTTTACAGCTTACCAAATTCTGGTTTGTGCTGTTATTCACATGGAATTGGTCACTTACAGGGAATTCAGCTTAACCTTAAAGCCGTTTGGGGCAGTCTGTAAGTTCTGGGTGTATAGTTACCCACCCAAAAGTCCCACGTTCGTGAAGGCACAGATCATCTTGAAATCCATTCTGTGGCAGCATGGACTTCCAGGAACTGCAACTTCGGAAATTGATTCATCCCCCCCCTGAGGTTTAGCGTCCTTGTTACTACTGTAGCAGCTTCTTGTTACTAGTAGCGATGGCCTCCAACCTACTTGCGATGGCCTCTACCTAATAGCGTCCTTGCTTCTAAGTAGCTTCTTGCAACTAGTAGTAAGGCCAGGAGCTACTAGTAGCGTCCTTGCTCCTAGTAGCGATGTCCTCTGTTACTATATAGTAGCTTTTTGCCACTCAGGAACTTCAAGTCAAAAGTGGACCAGGGCCTCCACCGTTCACTCCGCCGCTGTGGGTTGTTGCTTCTGTTCGCTGAGTGCTTCGCTTCGTTCAACTTTTGGGCCAACCCCTTTCAGCTGCGGTGGGGTCAAATGGATGTGAACCCTTAGCAGAATTGAATCTGGGACGGGGGGTCAACTCATCTTAAATCTATGGGGTCGGTCAAAATACTTCTATATATGTAAATTTAAGGTCAAAACACTTCGAGAATCCTTACAATGGCTGCGCACGACTCTTGACTCGTGTACCAAGTTCATCCAAAGGCACGTGCGTTGGATCATCCTGAGATGCGCAAGATTGCAAAATCAGCCTCTGGGAATGATCACTCCAAAACGACCAAATCGATAGCGACATTGCAGGAAACTACAACGTGTTGCAATGGGGTTGGTGGTACAATGTTTCTTTCTACTAGGCGGTTCTGTCCACGGGTCTCCCTGTTCACTACATACCACAATGCCTTCTGTGTTGTCAGTTGATGTTCAGGGGTGAGACAATTTTTAGGCAAGCAATAAAACTATGAGGACCACAAACAGTCTGTCAAGCAAAAGTACCATAACTCGGTGTGCACGTGCACAACTCCCCATTTGCTGATACCCTGTAGCTGCAGTTTCTGTTCCTGGCCCAGCCTGAAAAAACCGCCGACCACTCAGACCATTGATATTAGGTGAGTAGTGGGTGACCTGCCATAGAGTCTACCGATGGGATCGGTGACCTGCCTTTCCTCCTGCCAAGCACCCATGATCAAATGCCAGTGAACTCCACCGCGTTGCACTGAACTTCCCTTTAAGAACCTCCCAGCTTCGGAGCACACCCCTTCAGCCCTTCATCTTCCCGCGTCCCTTCCGGCCCCCAAGGTTTGGCCAAGGTTCTTCTCCGTCGTCTCTGTGTTGTCATCATTCCTCTCTGGCCACGGCAACGAGGGATCGGTGGCTCCGCCAAAGCGGATGATCTGGTCCTCCGAGGCGGATGACAGGCGCGAGAGGCGCGGAAGGGCGGACAGGCCCTGGCACCCACCCCAACCAGCTTCTTTTCGGGTGCGATTGGAGCCCTAGGGAATAGTCTCACTGGGACCATGTCATGGTTTGATGCAGTTTCGTGAAAACTATGCCTGTGTATTTGTTCTTCCCATCACCGCAGACTCCCCGTATTCTAAAGCAAAAGGAGGGTCCAGGGTGCAAGCGGTCAGTTAAACGTGGTTGCTACATGTTGCTACCACTAGGCAGGATGTGTTGTATCTTTTTGTGGGATTGTTCATCGGAAGCCCTACTGCTAAAGCCTGTTTCCTTCGCCCTGCGCCACGAAAGTGGGAGACCCCAGAGCCACTCGCAGAGCCTTCCATGGAACTGCCAACGACTCTTCGTCGCAACTTCCCGTTGGTTTCACGAATCCGGCATCTCCTGTGTCTTCGGATTCGCCCCGGCCGGCTCAAAGACTTTCACCCCTGGCGGACAGAGGAGGTGGGGAGTGACACGCCGACAGGGCCTATGGGCCCAGTGATGTCCGGCCAGGTACAATTGACCTCTTGGTTGTATACAAGAGCAAAAGACATCAAAAGACCATGCTGACACCTGGCCGTTCCCTGCATTCGTCCTCACAAGTTTCGTCCTCTTTAGCGTTGGTCCGGTTGGCTGGATCCATGGTCCAGTCATCTCCGGCACCTCCAGCCAGTCCAATATCACCTTCGTCGAAGTCCTTAGCTTCGGAGGTTGGGACAGTGAGGAGCACCCTTAGCGGCTCTTGGTGGAACCCCCCAAAATGCAATATGTAACCCACCCAGATGCGCCACCTAGTCACCTACTAAATATTGGTATTATGATGTATTGGAAACCGCAACAGGAACCAGCGATAGTAGGTGCTACAGTACCACTCCCATGGATTCTGGCGTGCCAGCAATGTTCATAACGGTGAATCAGTGCCTCATCTTTCCTTCTAAGAAGCATGGAACTTGAATTGGATTGGCAAAACATGGCTCAAATGTCAAATGGCTTTCCTATTGACCAAATCGAATGCTCCCAAAGAGACGACGAAAAAGCTCAGAACCGGGTTCGTTTCCTCTCCTAAGAGGCTCCCTCTCATAGCTCAGAACTGGCTATGTTTCGTCTCAAGAATCCTGGATGTCACAGTCCTTGGGGAAGTCACTAAATCAATCTAAATCATCAATGTGTTGAGCTCGCAGGTGCAAGTGTTCCAAGATTCGAAGTCCCAACTGTCTTCCAATCTGCAGTTCTTCCAATCTGGCGAACTGTGCTTCACAATGCACAGTTTGGACGCCCTCACCAAGAGGATCTTCGTTTCACACCAAAAGGCCCAGGTCGACCCCCGAACCAGGTCGACCCCCCATTGACCTGCCAACCCCCCACCGCCCCGTTCAAGCCCGGCCAGTTCGGGCAGGAAGGACTGCACCTGTCGATGGTTCCGTCCTTCAGTCAGGTGGCGGTGCGTTGATCCAAGGCCAAGAGATCCACAAAGCTCTTCCATTGCTTCATCTGCACCGCCTTCCAAGGCTAGGCCGGTTCTCCCCACATTCCTATGGCGCCCAAAACATCGAACATGGTGGAACATCTGCAGGGCCTTGCACGGTGTTTTGAAGGTGCTGACGACCAACGGAAGCTCAGCAGACGACCAAGGAAAGCCAACGGAAACCGAAGCAGGGACTGGGAATCCCCTCTGTCTCTTCGTTTCGAAGCAGCTTGAGAGAAGAACCAAGAAACCACAGAGCGGAGCCCTGTCAACGGAGGGCGACTAACAGTGGTACCAGTGGTACGCGCCCCCTCCAACCAACGGCTATCAGGATGTTCTCTCTCTCTCTCTCTATCTATATATATTATATATATATATAATCCAGGACCTTCAAAGTGACCTCTTCGGAGTCTGTAAGTGACCTCTTCAGGGACTAAGTGACCTCATTGTGGGATCTCAAAAGGCTACTTTGAAGGTCCTGGATATATAAATTTATTTATATCATTCTGTTCTTCTGAGTGAACTCGCAGATGTTCCATAGGTCTACACGTCCACTGATCCCCCCGTGGGGTTGGTCCCAACGATCAGATGGGCAAGGTGCTGGGACGCGGCCTCCAAGGTGCTTGGGGATGCTTTCGTTTTGGGTCACTCCCTGGCACATGATGGCATGGTTCCTGGAATGACCATTTTCCTCGACCAAACTCAGGCCATTCTGCGGACTTGATGGGATTGGCTTGACTTTGTCACCTCAGATCCGAAGCATGGATTGGCTTGAACTCATTTCTCACTTGGGAAGATGGGGGGGGCTTGGGTGATCCCCCACTTCGAAGAACTCGGACACAGCCAGAGAGCCACTTTGGATTTCACGGCCCCGCACGGCCCCCGAGGGCCGAGGCCCAGGGGCCTCGCACTTCCACATCGCACGTCGCACGTCGCCCCACGCCTTGAGGGTGTCCAGGATCACCTCTCCACGTGAGAGCCTTTGGAGGCGCTGACGCTGAGAACTGCTGCACAAGAACGTGGTTCTTCAATCCCCCACGACAGTGCTATCTGGAGATATCTGGAGTATCCAAATATTTGTGAGATCAGAAATCCTGCAACACCGAAAGTAGCGAACAACAATTGATAATATTATGAATTAATGTGATATGAGCTTTGCATAGCTTCGCGGTGTTTTGATTGGGCATCGGTGGTGCAGAGGTTCATGTATCAAGCGCATGCAGTAGACTCAGTAGACTGTGTATCACCCCGCAAATACAGTGGGCTTGACACTTCAGTGACTTGGAGTGGGATATGGTTCCTAGTAGCACTGAAGATCCATACCTGAAAAGGCCATCAAGGACAGAATCACTCTCTGGTCGTACCCTTTTGACGATCGATCGGTACCACCCTCCAGGCCTAGCGTGACCTTCGCTGTCTTCTGCCAAAGAAGAGTAGACACCGCAGAACTGCCTCATGAGTGAAGACAATCCCACTATGGGCGTTCGGGGACTGCATGTACTGCATGTTTTGTTTCCAGGAAACACTGCGAGTTCGTGAGATATCGAAATCATAATCATGAATGAATTTGATCAATTGGTTCAGAATGGATTCTCCCACACTTAAGGTGATTTCTACAGATGAAAGGGTGCATGGATTTTCCCGGGTGGAACCGTGGAATCTACTAAGAACTGTTGACACACAGATATATACATGCTAAATGCCAACTGATAAGAGAGATACCCAACAATCCATGTACGGAACATCTATATACTTATATACATCGGCCTTGAACATTCATCTTAAAGACCACCCTAATGCAGGCAAATATACCATACATGGATTGTCTGAGATATGATTACAGTAAGTAATATATCTTTGGTGGTGTGAGACTACGTGGTCGGTGACATACGATGTCCAGTAAAGAGAGACATACTGATAGAACACCGATAGCATCATAGCCAGAGTAGTATCAAATACAAATAGATGACACAACTTGACCTAGAATAGCTGTGGTAAAACACAAGGCCAATGTCCGGTTTGGCTTGGTGATGACGGACATGGATACTCCAAAGCCTCCGGTTTAGCCGGTCAAGGCTTTTCGATTCAACAACTCAGGAAACCGTTCCCAGGATATGCTTTTTGGGCGGTGAGAGTGCGGCTCCCCGAGCCCTTGGGAGTTCCAACGCGCCATCCCTGACGCGAGTGAAAGCAACAAAATAAGGACACGCACGGCACGAGCACGTTTCGGTCAGGTGACGAGACCAGGATGTTGAAGAAGAAACTGCACACCAGTAGCATGAACATCGAGATGACCTCGTCCAGGGACAACTCATGAGCGACACGTGAACAAGTTGCCCCCCCCTGCAAAAGCAGGAGCGTCTCAGAAAAAAAAAAAAACAACAACTAAAACTATAAAATACAATAAGCAGGTCTTGTGCACGTTGAAAGTTCATTGGAAACGCTGGTCTGACAAACAAAGAGTATCCTTGCGATCCTTGTAGAAAAAGACAGATGAGCAGTCCAACTCACAGGTGTGTGCTGAAGAAAACACACGAGGCCTTCACACGTCCCCATTTCCCCATGTGGAGGATTCACGGCGAGCTGACTAAAAGCTCCAGAATGGGTGGCCGGTTCTTTGTCGGTCGCCGGGAACCAGTCGACTGGGGTGTCATTGGTCGAATGACATCGGGCACTACATCGGGCAGGGATATATGTCCTGGTTTTCATGAGTTGATTGAAACATGTTCCCCCATCCAATCCAGGCATGCTAATTTAACATACCGAGTTTGCAAGGGTTCTGATCGGCAGAACTGTTACTGGAAATCCTTCCAGCCATGGGAAACAGCCTTGCCAAGGAGCAATGAGAAGAAACGGACTTTCTTCAGCGATGTTGCGCAGCTCGCCCTAAGCAGACTGAATCCTTTTTTGACAAGCAGGCTGTGGGTCAAACCCCGGATACCTATGGGTTGACCTCTAAAGGTCAATGTTACATGGCGGAGAAAACTGGGCTCCAGGTTGAACGACCGGGTGACCGGGTGAATTCAATCGGTCTGGCGGTGGCACACCGCCCATCAATCGGGTCCACGTGGGTCGTTGGGCATTGATGACACACTGGGATATAGTCTCTGGGTCCCAAGAACTGCTGTGAGGCACTTCAAAAAGTTTCCCAATCCAACACCACCCAAAATGGAAACAAAGAGGCTGAAGAGTAAATCATCATGGAACGTGAGTATCTGGCTATGATGGACACAACATCATGGAACCCCAAAGAGGTTTGTCCACCCCAAACTATCTCCGGTCACATTACAGTACAGGACGGATAGTCGGATAGCCCTCATGGATCCGTAGTGCGTTTCCCCCTGTCCATCCCCATGTCCTAAACCTTTTTGTGAGTGTGATTCTTGGACAAGGTCTGAAACCGTATTCCCACCCACAAGGAAAGATCAGGGATAGTGATGATGTATCCACATTGAACGTGCATTGGAATGGATGGTTATGGTGCCATGGAAACAAACATGTAGTACAAACAGTAGTAGCTGTGGAATTTCACAACCAATACCCCGCAAGAACCCTTTTTTCTACATTGGCACGTTCAATACGTGCTTTACCTGTCCAGAGGGACGTGGAACCAAACAAAATCACCACAAACTTCGATCACAAATTTGTGACTATTGCCACAAGAACTGGGACCCCTTCTGGCTTAGGCTTTTGTGCCGCCAGAAACAAACATGTATCTATAACGACGGCCAAATAGATAGAAACCCAATCTCGCAAAACACAAATACTTTTTTGGGACATTTTTTTCAGAAAGGATGGTCAGGTTTCCATGATTGAAATTTCACTGCAAAAACTGGAGGGAAACCAACGATGGAAACAAAATCAGTGTCTTTGCGTGTCCATCTGTGGGTCGCATGAAAAAACACATAGGATTAAACAACAAGAAGTTGAATCTGGTGGTTTTCCAGGGTTTCCCTCAAAAGAACAAAATTATCCCGGCAAGAAACCCCAAACGGTGTGTGTGTGAGGTCTATAAGCAGAAAGTGTAGAGATCTAGACGCATTGGGGGCCAGAGATGTGATGGTGGTGATGAAGGTGGGGATCGTGGTGACGGTGGCGGTGGTGCATGGTGAGTGAGTGTGAGTGTGCGTGTGCGTGTGCGTGCGCGTGAGAGTGAGAGTGTGAGTGTGATTGTGAGTGTCAGTCAGTGTGAGTGCGAATGTGAGTGAAAAGTGAGTGTGAGTGTGAGCGTGTGTGAGTGAGTGAGAGTGAAGGTGAGAGAGTGTGAGAGTGAGAGTGAGAGAGTGAGAGAGGGAGCATCTGAGAGCACAAAGTGCTCCGCCTGCGCCGAAATCTGCACTTCGAGGTTCACAAAGTACTTCGCCTGCCACGAAATCTGCACTTCGAGGTTCACCAAGTGCTGCGCCTGCCACGAAATCTACACTTCGAGGTTCACCAAGTGCTGTGCCTGCCACGAAATCTGCACGTCGAGGTTCCCCAAGGGCTGTATAGCCACGAAATCTGCACTTCGAGGTTCACCAAGTGCTGTGCCTGCCACGAAATCTGCACTTCAAGGTTCACCAAGCGCTGCGCCTGCCACGAAATCTGCACTTCGAGGTTTACAAAGTGCTGGACCTGTCACGAAATCTGCACTTTGAGGTTCACAAAGTACTGCACCTGCCACGAAATCTGCACATCGAGGGTCACAGAGTGCTGTGCCTGCCACGAAATCTGCAAATGAGCCACATGCCCAAAAGTCACGATTCACTGCACCTGTCACGAAATCTGAGCTCCTCAACGATCACCACCATGTCCAAAGTGCTGCACCTGCCACGAAAACTGCACTTCGAAGTAGAACAGCTCCGTTCACTTGCACCTGTCACGAAGTTGACTTTGGAGCACCAAAGCACGAGGTTTCCCTTGCACCTGCCACGAAAAGTGACCACCATGTACCAAAATGCACACGGAACCACAACGAGAGCGCAGTTGCTAGAAGCACCCGCCGCCGGCCCCCAGATTCTGCGAGCCTGCGCAGTCGAAATGCACATTGACGATGTCGAGAGGCATGAATGTACTGTAAATAGCAGCGAATTAGCCGCACACGCCCACGACGCACACCTATCTAAGCACACCTGCCTTTCCCTTACCGTAAGAACCCCTAGTGTGACCACACTGTTTGGGGAAAAAACATAATGTCCTTTTGCACTGCCCTGCTGAATCCCGTATATACATATAAAAATGATCATGTGTTTAATACCGTGTTTCAATAGTTTTTTCTGCTGAAAATGTGCTAAAAGCATTCAAGAAGTCAATTGTCAATTGAAGCCGTTGTATTTTAGCAATTGACTTCTTCAAGGCTTTTAGCATATGTTCAGCAGGAAATCCCTTGAAACATGAGATGTTATGTTTTAAAGTAATATGTATAAAACGGATTCGACAGGGCAATGGGAAAGGACATTATGTTTGTGTTAAGAGAAAACCCTGAAAAAAAAAAAACACACCAGAATCAACTTGATGTTGTTTAATCCTATGTGTTTTCCATGCAACCCCAAAGATGAAAACGCACACACTCATGTTTGGTTTCCCTCCAGTTTTTGCAGCAACATATCAACGATGGAAACTTGACCCCTTTTACCAAAAAGGAGTCATCTAACAGGAAAGCGTGACCTTCAAAGGACACTTGAAAGGAACATTATTGGAAAATCAAATTTAGCGGAGAGTTGACAAGACAACTATGGTTTAGCCGTTTTGTTTTAAAGGGAAATTGGGCATCGATACCAAAGATACAAACGCAAATCTAGACATGCAGAGAGCACAGAAAGGAAAACAACTAGCTTTTGCTGAAACAACATGCAGGGAAACCAACGATAGAAACGTAAAGGTCATTAACACACAAAAACACACACAAAAAAAACAAAACAAAAACAATGACCCTGCCAAAGAAGTTTCTATCATTTTGGCCGTTGTTATATTGTAATACATATATATGTATGTATACATATATTGTATACTATATATCTATGACAAATACATATGTAGGTACGTAGGTAGGTAAGTCTGTACGTATATAGGTATATATATAGCATGTAGGTAAGCAGGTATGCAGGTACGCACGTACGCACGTACGCAGGTAGGTAGGTATACAGGAGCCGAGGAAAGTAGGAGTGGTGCCTTTCATAAAATCCAGCGACCCTCAGCTGACATGTGAGGAAAAACACACCCGCAGATGAGTTGGGCTTGGGCCATGGTTTCAAATGTGGGCCTTCCAAGATTTCTTCAAACCAAAACGGGAATCCATGCATTGGGACACAAGAAGAGATCAAGCGTTCAAGCGTGGTCAATGAAGATTACACAAGCCTCTGAAAAATGCCCCACATCTCCTGACTTGAATTTGTTTTCCAAGACTCACTGCTCAAACACCACCACCAACTCTGACTCATACCCCTCCACTGATATGGCCCCTTCCTAAGGCACATCACTAATCCCTATGGAAAGGCCCATCCGTTGCGATTCGAAAGAAACCGTGCGTGGAAGAGTTGTTGGGATTCTGTTGGAAGAGTCTGCGCCAGGGCCGCCAGGAAACTGTATCCATCATGCCAATGGCCAAGCGGGCCAAATTGCTGATGGCTGAACCCACATCCATGAATTCCTGGTGGCTCCGCTCGACAGGAAGTCCCATCGCTGATCTGGACTTTGGGTGAAAGCACTCTGAGAGGTACACGAGATTATCCCCACAAGACAAGCCATGGTGAATAATCCGCACGTTGGTCAAATGGGATTCCTGACTGGAGCTTTGTTCTGGTTTGCAAAAGTCCTGAACACTGTCACAAACATGGTTGAGGCCCTGTTTGTAGAGGAAAATGATCTTTCCAGGGGCCCCGTCTTTCAATTACTGTATACGTACATGATTGTTGGAGGCTACTTCTGATTCAGCAAACCACACGACTTCGATTGTTCAGCAAACAAGAAAAAACAAGTTAACTCTTTCTTGTCCTAAGCAACACCCCGAAGTTGATCTACAGGGTGCTCTTCTTGTCAGCCTTTTCTGGTGTCTTGTGTAAATAATCACAAATACAGTAGATAATAGATACATGTGAATACCCTGGTGTAACTGATACCCTGCAACTTGTTGGTGCTCTTTGGGGCACCCAGGTCCACCCAGGTCCAAACCGCTCTGGCACACCAAACGCATCTTAAATATTACTAAAAACATGTTCAAGTGTCTGGTGAATCTTCATGGAAAAACTCTGACCAATCGAAGCACCGGTATGATGGATCACCCAATCTTGATGGTTCGATCATATTTTGTTTTTAGGTGTTTGATTTGGTGAACACTTCAAACAGTGAACCCGCAAGTGCTTGCAAACATCCCGAACACAACTTATATCAACATATATCAACTGATGCTGAATGAGGAAACGTCCAGAGATTCTGGATGTGCACCAAATAGGCAGCGCTCGTGCGCGAGCGCATCACGATCGGCCCCAAAGAGCCAAGGAACGTTGCTGGAAAGGTTCCCGATCTGGCACAGTCAATGTTTGGGAGTTGGATGTGGGAATGTCATGTACTGCAAGCTATCCCAACAGAATAGCCTGCCTTGATCCAGGCCTTCAGAATGAGGCCTTGAAGAAGGTCAAAGAAACAGTTACTGGACCCCACGACACTGTCATGTTTGCAAACGGAGCCGTTTGTACAAACACCCCCCCTCCCAACGGGTTTAGCATGCCCGAAGTGCCAAGGAAACACTTACCTGGTGACTAGTGACTAGGCCTTTGACTATGCTGTAAGCACCCAGGATGCTGTTGCCAATTTCATCTTGAACGTTGATTGCTGGTGCACCAGGCTTACTTAGAAGTCGAACATGATCTTCACTCTACTGATACTTGCATTCCATGGATTGCCAAGTAATGGCCTAGCATCAAAAAAAGACGGATGTGCCCATACGGAAGATAAGTCCACATCTTCATGTTGCTGATAAGTCCACATGTTAAAAGCAATCTGGGTGTGTAACCTCAGATAGGGAGACCGACTGAAGCCAGGCGAGGCAACGACCCCCTGGCTTTGGTTCAGCAAATTGACCAGTCTACCAGCCAGGGCGAGAGGACTCGGGGGTCTCCCACTTGCTCCGGTGGGCCGGTGGGCGTGACTGGAGGGAGGCCGTTGCATGCCTCAGTCTGGAGCCCACGGGACGGTGCGAGTTCAAGGAATGAAGAAAGATGATGAAAAATAGGAGGCTTGCGAGGACTGGCCAGCACTTCAGAGCAGCATGCAGAATTAGATGGTGCAGTGGTGCATCACTGTGGTAAAAGGCATTGAGAGACAAAGTACCCATTGGCTAGGCATACCAGCACTCCACCTACATATATATATATAATATATATATACATACTGTAAAAGCTATGTAAAGCTTCTCTACCCCAAAAACACTTGCACATCAGACTGTCAGAGTGACGAAGCGCGGTGGACAGTTTGAATGAATCTTGCTTTCTTCTTGGCCCAAAAGGTGCTTCCAAGGGGCTCCTGGCCTTACTACTAGGAGCAAGGACGCTACTAGGGGCTCCTGGCATCGCTACTAGGAGCAAGGACGCTACTAGCATCTCCTGGCATTACTACTACTAGTAAGAACAAGAAGCTCTTCCCATCGAACTCCAAAATATCCGGGCGACGCGCCGCTGACCTCGATCTGTCGAAGGCCGCAAGCGGCTCGTGTGGAAACACAAGGTTCATCCAGCCACCGAGCTCAGGTGTGACTCTAGCCACGACAGGTGGGTCACGGGTTCACGGGTCATGGCAAAGCGGCACCATGTCAAGCATAGACTTGGCAGAACGGACATGCAACGAGGTAGTGCCCGGCACCCCGTTCAAAGCGGTTGAAACAGTCACAAAAGGTGCAGATCTGCCTGAATGGACGAAGCTGCGCTGCTTTGGACGCATGTATTAGTCCGTGTCATGATGATCCAAGAAGCATTACGCAGGTGACAAAATGGGGTGGATCGGACTTGACAGAAAGCAACCCGATGATCCACGGTGGCAAAGCAGCTTCGTGGCTCAAACTTATACTCAGTCCTAGTGCCTCCCAAACGCCTGGCCTCGCCCTCGTCCGCTCTGCACCTGTCCGTGGGGGTTTTCTGGGCAAGAAACCCCCTCGCTCGAGCGATCAGAAGCTGTGTCTCCTCAGGCTCTGAACACAGCTGTGTCGCATCGAGAGATCGTCGTAGATCGACCAGTTCGTAGATCGCGTCATGGCTCTGTCAAAGTGAAACAAATCCAAACAGTGGCGCCCAGTTGGTCCAAAAAGCGAGATGCGGCCCTCCCCGTAGGAGGGCCAATGGAGGGCCCAACCTTCAAAGCATCCAAAGCACAGATCATCTCTCAAGATGCAAAGGAAAGGCGCGCGCGAATTGGGTCCTGCCCATGGCGTTGGTCCAAAGTGGAATGCTCACCCACTGGTGGCAAGGAAGGAGTTTTTGGCAGCTCGCCAGTGCGGAACCGTGTCGCCACGTAGTCTCCAAATGGTCAAAGTCTCCAAATACTGCGGGTTGTGATGACTCTTTGGGGATACCGCGGCCCCCCATATCCCTGCATGGATACCTATAGAAGATGTCGGATTCCTTAAAGATCGCCGACATACCTGGAGCAAGTGTTGCTCCCGGCTGTTGGTTTTTCATGCAAAGGGCTTTGCAAAGTGTTGGAGGTGTTTGAAGGCACTGCTGAGAGATGTTGAGAGTATTGGTCCTGTTCAACTGCTTGTGTGCTTTCGATCCCTATGACGATGGTCAACTACAAGTAGCAATGGCAAACACTTATGGAACATTGCCGTGTTATGGCTAGCACTGCAAGCACTGCATCGAGCAAATGCACATCAAATGCATCCAACCTGAAAAACTCCTTCAAACCCAAACCCCGCCATCTACAGCCGCCATGTGAGCGACACTCTGGCCCGTCTCTGGCTGCGCCTCACGCGTCATGGCGGTGATGACGAAACCGAAGGTGAAGATCGCCAAGGTCACCACACCCAAGCACAGTGCCACCTGCCCGATTGGATGCACTGAGAGGCTTGCCGCCGCACTGGGAGGCTTGCTCATTGCAGGTTGCCCCGTAAACGGGGGTAGAGGGAGCTTGGGATGCCAAATTATAAGGAATCAGCCAGGAGGAGGGTGTCCTCCGCACCTGCTTCACCGCGCTCATACATAGGACGCGGTACTCCGAGATCTCGATGGAGATGCTACTGCCAATCCCGAAGATCAAGAACACATACCTCGGCGCCGTGAGCCGACCGGTGACCGGTCGGTGATTGTGAGATGTGACCGGTGACCGGTCTGGTCACATAGAGGCTGACTCTTGGGCTGACCAAAGACGCGCAGAATCACCAAAGGAATATGCTTGGAACATATATTGGAACCATGTTTGGAGGTTTCAGACGAGTCGGTTTCATCAGTGTCGCGCTGAGTTTCGGTGATTTGGTGCTTGCCGTCTTGCAAAAACATCTGGTGGAACTCCTGGCCCCTGAAATGATCTCCCATAAATATGCGGTAAGTCCGCCAGTTCCTTGTCCAAAATGTGTCGACGATGTGTGTTCCTTGTCCAAAACTGTCCAGCTCCCCTGCGTCGCGATAAACGGATGTGCCTCAAGGGTGATGCAAACGGGGGTTCTGATTGGATCGAATTTAAGGCCGGACATTCAAAAAGCCACCCGAGCTCCTGACAGTTTCACCGAAATGACATCGGACAGCTACGTAGCTCAGAAAACTCAAACCAAAAGTCGGCTTGGTCGCAGGCTCTCTTGTGTGCAAATGCGCTCAGTAAGCCCAGTGTCTTTTATTAAACGAGGACTATACAAACATTTTTAAAAAATCTTAGGAATCAATCCTATTCATAATAAAATCTTTTGATAAATATACGTTTTCGTTGTATATTTTAAAGGATGTTTCTAATACGCTCGTAATAAATATTTATTACCCGTTGAATTCATGGCAATTCATATGATTCAAGAATCCATCAAGATCTGGCCTTGCCAGTGACCAGGTGGTGTTCACACATTGATTGATATAATTTCTGATTTGGGACCCTTGTGCAAGTGAAGCTTCGAAGATTTCGAACCCGCATTCGAAGCCGCTGGCCAAGTGGCAAGAAGATCCCTATGACCAAGAAGACCTCATATGCCAGGCCTTAGCGTCGACTTGGAAGAACTTCCAGGGACACTGGACATATGTCACTGATCCAATCAGCCATCCACCCGGGGGTGCGCGACAACGCCTCGGGTTTTTCAGACTCTGCTGTCTTCGAAGAATTGCTCTTGTAAATATTCCGAGTATAGACACTATGCCCTGGAAGCGGAACACATCATCTTCCAAAGCCATATCGATAGGCCAAGTTGGCATGCTTGGTGTGCCACCCAATGAAGGGCATTCAGCTGTCCTACAAAGTCTGGACTGCAAAAAAAGGCACGAAAGACCGTCCAAATCACGACCTGTCCAAACAGTTCATGGGACTTGTATATTTACCTGGGGTGGTTCAAGAGGGGTGAACTTTTTGGCATAGATCCGATTCAAGGAGTCTTTGGGCAACCCAGGACCCAATGGTCAGCCGACTGAGTCTCAAGCAACGGATCGATTGCCCAGGGCCGTCATCTTAACAAGGCAAACAAGGAGGCCCGTCCCGCCCGGCGGAGCACAACCCGTCCCGCCGAGGACACGCCCAACGACACGACGAGGACCACCGTTCGGACGCCGACAATCCAACGCCCGCTTCGCCCAAGCCACTCATGTCATCCGTCCAGTTCTCACACTGGAACTCCGCGAAGTTCTGGCGCGTGCGCCGCGAAGGCCGGCACTTCTTTCTTTGCTCGAACAAAGTCTTTTCTGGTGTTGAGATGAGAAAGGACACATTCGCTTGTTCGCCTGGTACACCAAGGTACTCAGGAAAGTGAACCAACCTCTCTCCACCAGGCAGCTCCCAGTTGATTCATGGCCCAGATCACATTTTGAGCAAAAGCGGTAAATAATTCATTCAAGTCAACAATGAAACAAATTGCAGTGCGTCATGAACAATTGCTGGTACCCCAGTCTACAATAGTCCTCGATAGCACTATACCCAGTGCTCCAATCCCTCATATGAACTAATATTTGGGATGGGAGTCAGTCATGTCTTTTGAGGGGAGCATCGTTGACGTCGAACTGCTGCAACCTGCTTCAAAAAGAGCTTTCAAAGCCACGCCCAGTTTAAGTTCCTTCGCCAACAAGCAGAAGACATGCGAACTGTGGGCAAGATTCAATCCCATACCATCTATGGTACTGGAATCCTTACTTACATTGGGATCACAGTTGGGGTAGATGTACCTATAACAATTCCATACAAGGAGTGTCATTGGCACTATATGTACAATAACAAGCGGTTCCAATGCATTGCTGCATTCCTAACCAAAAACCTCCTCCTGGTTCGTGATGCAAAGGCAACTGGAAATATAGGCTTTTAAAAGGGAGATCCTTGAGATTGAACCCTGGGACAAAGTCTCCTTATATATCATATAAGATAAAATCATATATCATATTGTATCATATATATTACTGTATCTCATATCCTAACACACGCCACATCCCATTCTATCAGCCGTGCCTCTGAGGTGCCAAAGCAATGAATCATCGGTTCAACCTCGGTGGATCGTGTCACCGACGGACGGACATCGTCCCGCGGACCGTGTCGTCCGGCGGGCAACCACGGGGCTTGACCCACAGCCGTCACCAACCAAACCACCCTGGAGAAGCGACAGCTAGGTGTTCTCAACATCAAGAGCAAACCATCATCACAGCCTGACACTCCGAACGCAGCGAAAAAAGTGCTGCCCAAAAGACCACCATCATTGAAGCCATGTTGAGCATCAGCATGAAACTGAGCCTCAGTTTGCCACTTGCCTGAACTCGCAACCTGGAAGACTGTTTCTCTTGGACCAGGTGGGTATTGCTCCAAATACGAGACAACACATAGGGTCACAACTGGGAAGTCAAGTGAAGTGGAGGAACGAAAAAACAAAAGCAAAATGCACTACAGGCCTCACGTCGTGTGTGAAACTACATACGACGTGTATTTGGCCTCCACTTCTTAGTCTTACTCTGATGTTGACTGGCCTCCAAGGGTTAAGCAACATGAATGGTCCATTGTGATCCATTGTGTATTTTTACATTGGTTTCAGAGTAGATGGCGCAAATACTAGGGGTTTATATGGACCCCCATGCCAGTGCCATCGAACATCTTTACCTGGATCCCTCCCCCCCAAAAAAGGAAAGCATGGACATCCCATGGACACCTCGGACACCGGTCCGCTCTTTCCGAGCCGCCGTCCGGTCACCGTGGTCTTCACGTCTTGCCGCCCGAGGCGCATCTCAGGGCCCTTCAGCAGGTACGTCGGAACCCGAACGCGCCAAATGATTTTCCAGTCCTGGCCGAGTCGACCCGAGCAACACTGAGAGACCCAGCAGAGATCGACCGACGAGGGTCGACGAAGGCACCTGGTGGAAACCGGGCGTGGACTCCACCTTTTTCTGAGTGAGGTGATGGACCGTACTCCCCACCCTTTTGGGCATGATGTTTGTGGATACTTGGGAAATCGTATCAATGATACTACTGATATTGTTAGAGGTGATTGGAGCATAAAATATGAACTCTTCCAAGAACAAAAGAGGGAGTTTGGGACGTGAAATGAACAGCCTTCTTCAGGATCAGTCGGTGGACAGTCTTGTGTCGATGATGAATATTGCAACTATGTAAGGTCTGAGTCTGTATCTATATATATATATACGATTCAAAGGTGCATTCTAAATAACATATGCTAAGGTGCATTTCAAAACATATTAATTCTATATTATAGTTTTCTTGCTTATATATACTGTATTCTAAATGACTTGGACAGGAACATTCGGCTTGAAAAGTCGAAGCTAAGGGTGAGACTAAGGGTGAGTCAACGGGGCCTATTCCCCCGAAAAGGTCTCCAACATGGCACTTGTCCCAAACAACAAATTGGAGCTTTAAAATCACCACTCCTGGCGAGTAGATGATCGATAGAGCTCGCGCACGTGGGAGTAGAGCAATTTGGCAAAGCCCATGGTATAGACCAACACTCTCACACCGACAAGAGCTTTAGACCACCTTGCAAGCAGTCTCAGCAACAAGTATTAGAGACAGGGAATCCACTCCCCACCGACCGAGAAGCTATCTACAAGGGGGAAGCTGCGATTTTGCCGTGGAAGGGTCAACAAGGGTGCAATTTGTTTCCTTTTTGAAGGTGAGCAACCTTACCCTGCATGGTTGACAGCGTGCTTAGCCAACCTGTAATTATGCTTAATGTTGTTCAATCCTTGCCAGATCTTGCCAGGGTGATGTGTCAGTGGTAGACTTTAAAGTCAGCAAAACATCTCTGTGGTCCAATACCCCATCAAGGGGTGCCCAATGGGAGCCTATATAAGCAGTATAAGGTCGTCCATTGGATACCCTTTGGATGGTCCTGGAACATGTTACCATTCTTCTAGTTTAAACCTTCCATGCAAACTCAGTATGCCGCAAACTTTCAGGCCTGCTACAATATGCATGACGTTTCGCTGGTGTTTGTCGCACAGTGACCACAAGCACTTCTGCTGTTTGTTCAGACCACACCAAATCCTAGTGAGGAGCATCGAGGTTCTTCCCTGTTGGCACTTGACCAATGCGTTGCAGAAATGAAGTGAGGAGGCTCCCTGGAAATCTACTGTAGTTAAGCAGGCTCCTAGCAGGATGCCAGTCAAGCTTCTTATTGCACAGTGAATTTCTCATGCTGGGGTCCTTCGAGTCATCGGTCCATCGAGACTGAGGGTGCATTGACCGGTCACCCAATTGGACACATCGAGAAGACTCTGGGTCACTTCGAAACACACGAGTCGATGGACCCTTGCATCCTCGGACCAAGACTCTGGTTCTTCAGTAGACATCCCTTAGCCTCTCAGCGACTGAACATAGATACCTTTGTGGGGTTCAAAGGTCTCTGTCCATCAAAGGGTCGAATCAGGCGGTCTCAACCTGGAAAGCTCTCAGACCGCTCGTGGTCCCATGGATTGATCGAAGGTCGGTCCGCCCGGTGCGACAGGGGCACACCGGATCCCTCATCACAGTCGGCTGATTGAGAAAGCCTCAGGTGCGGAAGGGAGTCTTGCGCCCTGAAGAACCCGACCTTGTGATTCAAAGAAGAACACACCACGGGTGGCCTGTAGGGCTTGGATTCACCATGAACAGGGTGGCCAGGGTGGGCGATACCAGCTGGTTGACGGATTCTGGGGCTCGATTAGACAGGGGAATTGAACTGAAATGAAACCGTTGTCTTATAGTTCCATGATCATGTGTGTATCCTACAACTACATATAGACATTGGGATACCCAAATACCGATCATTGATTCAATAGAGTCTTTAATAGAGCTACCACACTAGGCGATGGTGTTGGTACCACATTCAGCTGTTCAATTCTCTCACACTTCACCTTCACCAGTTCCTGCTTGCTCCTCCTTGCTGCGTTCACTGCGTTCCGCAGCGTTTCCAAGTGACAACCGGCCAGGATAAAGATCACAAAGTTAATCATCCTGCAAATCAACCGGCTTAGAACATCCTTACGGCAATCGATCCAATGTTGTCATAGCAAGTCTATCAGAAGTGAAGTAAACACACACGTTTTATCTTTTTTCCACCGGTCAAAAAAAGGGAACCGCAGGGTGATTTACCCGTCAGACACTCCCTGAAATGTTCAAACAGGATACATGGAATTCACCGCCTGGTTGGTGAACATGGACATCCTTACTGGCCATGCCATCAACGTAAGCATGATAATTCCAGGGAGTGTAAAATCCTTCAAGGTGTGCGGGAAACATGGACCGGTGGACAATTTCTGGAAACCCACCGCCTGATCAGAGTACTCCATGATTTCAGGGAGTACTGTAAACTGTAAACATCCTGCAAACTAGGGAAGTCCTAAGCAACACACGCTTCGAAAACAGCCCAAATCGCCCCAAATCCCTGAAAAAGGACCCACCCCCCTCATGATCCTCATGTCGAACAGCAAGCACCAACTCCTGTCTTAGAGAGTCAACCGAGGACTCGGATCCGACCTCACGAGTGGCCGTTGTGACCGGAGGACAGGCGAATTGAGGACACCGGATCCGGTGTTCCACAAGCCCGGTGGATGTGCGAACACATCCGGCTCCGGAACGGAGGGTCTGGAGTGTGGTCAAACACAGACGTCTATCCGACCTCAGCCGCCGCGTCTACGCGCTCCTGAAGATCTGATCGTACATGAAGTAGCTTCTCACCTGAGCGAAAAAAGGGCCGGACTGGTCCATGGAGATCTATATAGTAGATTCCTTTGCTAGTAGGAACAAGTGCCTTACTAGTAGTAACAAGAAGCTATTAATTACAATTCTAATTAAGTTCTTTAAGATCATATCTTCACCTATCAGGCACAAGTCCTGCAGGTGTATCTGTGAAAACTTGGATCTTGTAAGTCTGACCCTCTGCGTCCGACGCACGATCCGAAACGCGCCAAGTCCCTTCCAACCAGTATTTTGTACTCATATATAGAGGTTTTGTGACTCGAACAGAAGAAGATTGACCAGGAACTGAGCCCAACTAAATCAGAGTAAATCCTGCAACCAAAGTCCAATTAAAATATATACCAATCAAATCAATCCGTTGACTTTCTGGTACGTGAACAAGTCATAGACTGATATCATGTCGCTGATAAATCTGACGAAGATCGTATGAATGCGCATGAAGCGCTTACGGATGCTCTGCAACATTTGATATGTGGTGAAGTGGAAGATGAACATTTGCCAAAATTTGCTGCTGTGCCACTGATGAATCTGCAAGTGTGCAGCAAGTCTAAAATTTTAGTGGAACAACAGGTCTTGCAGGAATGCCACCCACCAAGCTTGGAAGAAAGCCAAGTCTCACAAACTTCCAAGTCCCCATCATCATATATCTTGCGTTCTTTCCTGTTGTGTACACTAGGCACTTGGATCGCCCGTTCCATGGTTTGCTTGGCTGCAGTCTGGCTAGCTTCCATCCAAATTAAAGTCATCGTCATACAGCATGGGGCATAATATATACTGGCCTTGAAATGATCCTGTCTTGCCGTGCCCATTGAGAGAATTCCCGAGCAAGTCCATTTGAGCCCGTTGGAAGAACTCCTTTGACTCCTGCTGCTGGCCAAACCAACGACAGCCATTCAGCACTGAGAACCAATTCCGACTGCTGAAGACGAGCGAAAGTCACCCCGACTGAACTACACACAAATTCTTTTCCAATGCCTTTTCAGAATGACATATTCGTACAGTAAGTACAAGTTCCTGCACTCATCCATTTTCATTGTAGCTGCTGTAGGGCAAGGAATGGATTTGGCTCCAGCTGTCCAACCCGACAGGCCCGTCATAAAAAGGAGCTCATGGCCTGTCAGGCCCTCTCAACATAACAATCTTCCAAAGCAGGTCCGGTCACGTCAAAGGTTTGATCACCATCCTCATCCTGCCCAGGATCAGCATGACAAACCTTCTCGTAACTTCATTGCCTAACTTTGCAAATTCGTGTGGTCCTGTAGCGGCATGTCTGTACCACCAAAAACCAAGAAGTGGCATCTCCTGCAAGTCAATATTCCAAAAGGGCCAAGCATGTATTACATTGTATTACTATACCTATATAGCTATATTGATTCTATAGTAGATCCCGGTGTAGATTATTCTGCATCCATTTGCTGTGAACACTAGATTCCAGCGTCCATGGCGGATCTTTGATCCAGAGTGATTAACGTTCCGTCATCGAAGCAAACCACTTCGAGGGCCCGTCCCTTCGCTGGATGGGAAGCACCTCGAATTGAACAAAACTCAGGCGGCTCGCCATGGACAACTCTGACTTTTGGGATCAACGACGATCTCCGAACCAACACATGGGGCATTCCGCTTGTTGGCCCTAAAGTGAAATCAAGGTCCAGGAAAAGGCTCTGACCTGTCAGGTGTTCTACATATGTATATATACACACATGAATTGGGATGTTTCTTGGGTACCAGTCGCATCTTATCCCAGTCAGATCCAGTCAGTCCATCCGCTCGCTCGCGAACGCTGCGGAAGGCCAGGCTCCGCTCGCTCGCTCGCTCTGCTGAAGTCGACGAGTGGCAAGCTTGTTCCACACCAGGTCTGAGACCTGAAACATCGGACGGGACCCAACTCAGTGGAAGTCGTTGGGCTGTATATGTATATGTATATCACCGCTGCCGCCGTGGCGAGGTAATATATGTATATATCTAACGTACATGTTTTTTCATATGTCATGTCCTTCATCCGTCATGGTTGTTTTATAAATACAATAATGGATATATGATTATGGTTCTCATATGTTTTCCCACCCCGGGTAACTCTGAAGGGCTTTTTGAATCCATGGCAACACTTTCAGGGCTTTAGACCCTCCAAATGGATCACCCGTGCCGATAGCCCAGGAGTCATTACAATGATGAACCCACCACTAACATCCCAAAAACATCCACCTTTCCTACCGACGGTACCCCGACGGTACCCCGGCGCGGAAGACACAAACGTTCTTTCTGCAGCGAGGCACGAAGATCAAGATGGACGATGATCTTGGGGTTTCGAAAGCGCACGAAGCTCACGAAGGCTCGTGAGATCATCTTTTCGTCGTCGGGATCTTGGAGCAAATGTTCCATGTAGTACACCACCGGACGCTGCCCCTCCTGTGAAAAGGAAAAGAAGTGGTGAACAGTTGCATGCACTTTGAGAGAGAAAAATGGTCAACTGCCACCTGCTTGGGGTAAGAGACAACACTTTCACTGCACTCCAATACCCAATGATACCAAATACATCCAAATACCACATGCTTTCCAATTGGGTTGCACTCGTTTTTTTTGTTTTTCAGCACTCAGTCACGCGTCGAAACCGCAAGACCAACACCCACATGATCAGGTTGAATCCTGGAGGTGGATCAACAAGCATCGGTGCACGTGGACAAAAGTCCACCGCAGTTGGACGAGGTTATCTGTTGATGGAACAAGCTATTTACTGAGCCATACCCGTAGCGAGGCACTGCGATGCGTATATATATATATTGTGTTCAGTATGTCTGGAAGTTGCCTTCAGTCTTCCCACCTGCATTTCATGTTCGCCCGCAACCTCGTGGAATGTCTCTCGACAAAACCTGTGAATGTCTCTCGTGGAACCTGATGCTTTCTTCACCCTAGGGCCCCCCCGTGAGGCTCACAAGGTAGTTAGATCCCCCCAACCACCTTCTCCTATACAGGGCCAATACAGATTCCCGAGATTCGATTTCACAGAAACACCACACTACTGAGTGGCATGTTTTTCGGGTCTTTGGAATCCCCGCGAGAAAATGATCAGGCGATCTTTGGAATTCCCCTGTGCAACAAAAAAACGCAACGAGAAAATTGACATGAATCAAAGAATCACCAGATTAATCAAATGTCCACTTGGTGTTTCATGTCAATGAATCAAATAATCACATCTTAAGAAAGGCCCGATGCTTTGGTGTTTCACCCGATGCTTTTGGATGAACACTGGACCCTGATGAACAGCCCCTCCCTGTGCTGGACCTGAAGTGTCGGGCGTAGATTCGCCGATGAAGCCAGGGATTTCCCAAGATAAGACACACCAGAATGAACTGAAACCCACCCACCGACCCTGGAATTCCACTACGGATGCAACATTAGAAGATCCAATATGATCCAATCATGAAGTCAATCTATTCCCACCTCCCACAACAATGATCATATGCCTTCACCTCTGCCCATAATCCATTAGACATCCACCATTAAATCATATCCTGACGCTAAATGTCTGATCCATTTCTCTTCGCTGTCTGCATCATGTCCTCCACCAGGGAAGTCTGTCCTCCAGCAGCACAGGGCCCCACTCCGCATGGACCGCGTGCGGTTCACCCGCGCCGGACCGACCGGACGGTTTCTCACACCTCGGGACCCGCCGAACGCCCGGACCGCCCGGACTGTCCTTGGTCTTGTGCGAGCGCCAAATGAGCCCATCCAAAAACACGTTCACCAGCTTGGGTGCCTCTTGGAGCAAATCTGCCGCGATGTCCGGCTGGAACCTCAGCTCTTTTTTTTGCGTCAATAGGTAAACATTGGGGAAAGAGGGAGGTTCTTTTGGGGATGGGATGATAGTAAGATGGGGTTAACATTGGATGGCAACAGTGTGGGAGGCACACGTGGTATGATGGGATCAGCAGGATAATATACTAGAACTATATAGGCGGCGGTTGCAAGGTCCATTCCATCACATTTACAAAATGGCAAAGAAACAGCGGATGACCCAAAACACATCTCGGATGGCTTTCCAAATTCCTTGTTTCAACGGAATCCGTTTAAAACAAGTGTGATAGACCCATAGTTTTACAAGTGGGTTGACTATGGCATTGAGATGCTCATGTGTCACCAGGAAAACACCATTCTCGAAGGACCAGAAAGGCCGCATATTCTTGAGCTGACGTTAACCTACACTAATCCACAATGGTTGGGGGACGATGGTACGCAACAGTAGATCTCCTTTTGGGGTCAACATTAAGACCTAACCTCTCAGAATGTGGGACTGAAGGGAATGTCAGTGAACAATTTCACAATTCTTCATAAATTGCTGTCCTCAAGCAAAGTTTTACCTTTATAGCTATTATATACTGCCTTTAGAAGGCATTTGAGGCTATTTCCAGTTTCCTGCTAGGCTATATATATATATAGATCCTATCTTCACAGGCAACATCACTATATAATTAGAGCTGGAAAAGGGGCCGACGAGCTCTGATTTCTGCTCAAGCGGCTTGAAAATATCGTTGACTCCATAGTAGTAACGATCTCTGTCCTTAGTGTCGTGAGTCATGACTGCACCTCCACGATCTCGGGCGAGACTTGCATCAGTACGGTGTTCCGTACATGCTTTGCCCAAGCCCTGAAAAGCTCCACTGCGTCAAACACATGGTGAGCTGTGGCCACGCACTAGTTACTACAAGTTTGTATATAATGTCTATATAAATACAGAAATATTTAGATTAGTTTCAGTGACTGGGGTCAATTGAATCTTCATCAGAATGTCTCAAAATGACCTTGTATTGGCCTTGGGGGAAGATAGCTGACATACGCCCATGATCCTGAGGAAACTTGAGTCATCAGTCAGACAACTAAACAACCCTCAGTAACTACTATAGCTGCAGTGGACTGGTCAGGCTGCCGGTGGACTGGTCAGTGCAAGAAATGTATAGAAATGGTCCATGCATGTCCATGCATGTCGGAACGTTTGAAGGATCGCTCCCTGGAAAAACGGAAGTGGAAGTGGATGGCCTGGCTCTTGGATGACCATTCTCATTTACAACATGTCAGACGGTGTGTTTCCACTGACGAGTCCCATGGATGACCAGAACCCATTCTCATCGGACGGGGCCCCAAGGGTCCAACGTGCTCGGTGCGGTGGTCCGGTCGACCACGCGAGCATTCGATGCGACCCGCTTGACGTAGACCAACAGGTCTGTCCATGCATGCAAGGATATCGCGAGTCACTTAGCAACAGTCCGTGGAAGTCAGCAAACGATGCATGCTGGCACCCACGATCGGTTCTCGAGGTGTCGATCGACATCGGAAAAGCACCGGTTCGAGATCCGAAATCGCTGCCCAGACGCTGCACGGATCGTCAGCACATCTTCGAGCATGGTCCGCGCGGCGGTGTGAGCACCGCTCCTGTGGGGTGAGCTCCGTGCGAGGTGAGCTGCGGTAAGAGACAGACTGAGGCTTTCTGGGTGGCCCCCAAAGGCTTTCTGACCTTTCTGGGGGTCTTGGACACGGAACGAAGCACTCCGTTGGGGCCTTGAGTCTTAAGATGTCGAGGTTTACTGGTTTACTTAATAAAGAATTCGTTTACGATGTCTTGATCACCAGAAAACATCCTGAACCTTGGACACCTGGAAACACCAGAAACCTCGACAAGTTTGAAGCGAATCCGTGAGAACTCCCTCAGCGCTGGGTCGACACGGAACACCGCAGGCGGTCTCTCCGATGAGAGTGCTCCGCTCTACACCTTTAATTGAATTGGAGAGCATGATCCCTTAGTTTTGAAAGTGAATCTGAGACAAAACTCCCCTTCCTTGCGCGTGAAAGCTTGCAGGCATCCGCTGCATGTTGAATCAGCTTGAGGCAACGTGGATTTCCAAACTATAGGTCGCTGGATGCATGTCAAGCTTCGATAGCGAGATTCTGAGCATTTTCCCGTTTCCAAATTTCCTCTACAACCCCTAGGCAAAGAATTGGTTGCACTATGTACACCTTAACAAACCCAAATACTTGCAGTCGATGGAACCTCCATGTTACTTGGTTCTGGACTCTCAGGCTTGCGCCTTAAGAATGTAGCATGCAGCATTGGCACTACCTATATATATATAGTATACCAAAGACACCTAAAACACCCAATTTGCAGCAAGTCCTACAGGAGTCCTACACACCCAAAGTGTCAATCCAAATTTATCTCAAAGTGTCCAGCTTCATCTCCCTATGGATCCACATACCTTCTCAGAAGGTAATTGGATACTATTTATGCAGGCTTTGAGAGGTCCAATGACCTTCTGAGAAGGTGGCAGTGGATCCATAGGGTCTGTAGACACTTATTTCTGAACTTTTGTCCAGCTTCATGGAGTTCATGTCCAGCTTCGTGGAGTTCATGTCCACAAACGAGTGAACTCGTCGGTATCATACCCTTCCCTTCGCATCCACTCCTCAAGGCCCAGTAAAGGGGTGAGATCGACTGACTCCCCACGCGGACCCTCAGCTGCAAGAAGTTCCTGTACTCCTCAGTGGCAGGAACCGACTCTTCCAACTCTGGCCGAGATCTGGATCATATCGTCTCTATCTTCGTGCATCAAGATTCAAGCGATTGCGGCGGCTGAGATCAGTGAGACCGGTCTTCAAAAGTCAACACGAGCACAACAGAGTGCCAAGCAAATGCTAAGAAACACATGACTACGTTTCACGACAACAAAGCTACGGCAGCGTAGATCATCATAGATCTCTACATGAGCGATGGTCAAAAATGTGATCTTTGCTGGGGCTTGGAACAGGCCCCGGTTTTCTGAGTTGGAGGGCCAACGAACTCGGTCACGGCGGTGGAAAAGGGAGACATCCGGGATAGCCAAGTCTTTTGGATTGAAAGACCCGATGCACTATATGCCAGGCGAATCAAAGATCCATCCACCTGCTCATCTTGAAATGAACACCGTTTTTTGAGGCAAGGATTGTTTCGTGACGAACCACGCGAGTTTGGGCACTTTGCCTGGTTATACCACGAAAGGCATTCTCGGCCCCTGCACAAGACTGACTGGTGACCGGTGTTTAAACATGTTTAAACACAATGCCGGCTGGTGAGATCCCCAAAACATGAACGGCATAATCGGGCATGGTCTATTGGTGAACATACATCATCGCTCTCAGTTTTGACAATTCAACCTGCGGTCTGAGACCGGCGGCCAAAGCACACGTGGAGCTTCCTTCAAGGCGGCCTGCAAAAGCTTAGCACTGTCTTGGTAGATGGCTTGCCTCAGTGAGCGATCTCCGCCCAAGGCAAAAGCGCACGTTCAAAGCAACAAACGAGGCATCGGAGATGTCGGTTCAACTTGTTCGAAAAGCATGCCAAGGACCCGAAAGCTTGGGTTTCTTCGAGATGCGGTTCAACACTACCTCCGGTGTCTATAAAGCAAAAACAAAGACCATGGGCCTCTGAACAGTTGGTGGGTCACTGTGGTTAACCCTGCGTTCTTTTTGACCAATCTGTTGCAATTTGTTGTAAACCCTGCAAGTAACAAGTATAGCAAAATGATTTACAGTACCCGGATCATCAGGAAAACACAAAAACTAGCTGCATGGGCAAATTTGGCCAACTTTGGCCTTTGGCAAGGACCCAACTTCGACCTCATCCGCAGCTCTCTGGCAGGGCCTTAAACCCACTGCATCCACCCTCCAGCACGCTCTGCCCTGCCGTGTTCTTGCTTTTGAAAGCCAAACACCAAACCCCCCAAAACCTTCCAAAACGAAGCCCTGCTGTTGCACCGCCGCTCGTACTCTTTGTTTCGTAAGTGCCCGGTCGTTGGCTCATGTAGGCCCGCGGCGGGTTTTTGAGGTCGACCCCGTCTGGCGGGTCCCGGGGCGGGAACAGCGGGAGCGAACCAAGAGGCATCACAGCGGTCGAGCCCTCGGTGATGATCCGCATCAGCAAGCGTGCCACCAGGCCTCGGGCGGTCCGAGTAGGTCCGAGTGGCCAGTCAGAAACAAAAGGGGGAGATAGAGGCCGGTGTATTTGTTTGGTGTCTGGCAGTTCTGGTGGGCAAATTGATATTTTGGGGTCGTGGCTGATACACCGCCCTTGCGCCTGTCACGTATTTTGTTGTTTGGTGCATGAGGGCGGGTGGGGTGGGTGGGGGTGGGGGGTAATGACGTGCTTGTACCGAAAGGAGGCAGTTGTACGCACCTCACTGTGTTCATACTTATATAAATTCATGATATGTTTCTATGCAACATCCAAATATGCTGTAAGTCCACATTAACAATGACCTTCAAGCAGAAGGACAAACACTTTTCCTCAGGCTTTTTGGGTGAAGAAGCTTGCGTGTTGAGTTGCAAAGTCTTGCGAATTAAGAAAAATTATCAAATTATCACGAAAGAACTCATGGCTGAACTTTTGGATGACTGCAAATCACATGATATATATATAACAAAAACAACTTATACATTTTGTATAACCACTTATAGCCTTATCATGTGTTAACTTGTTATCGTTTTACACTGTTTGGAAATCATTTTGCAGTCTCTTATCGTTTCCCAGCCAACCAGACATGTCCCTGCCTCAACTGCAAACAAGTCGGTCTCTGTTGTGGGTAAATGTGTGCATGCGGCGTGCACTATTATGTGAGCAATATGTGAGTATGTGCATTGCTTTGATTGGATTTTTCTTTCCAACGATTGCAGTGCTGCTGCGGTCAAGATCTTTCCTTGCCAACCAGTCTTCAAAGAAACTTCCGCATGGCATATGTGTTTCAGTTGCAGGAGCACTGACCACAAGCACGCCTCATGCTCTGGTGATGCAGGGGAGACGACATAACGTGCACCTGCTTTATTAGGAATTGGATTCGTCTCTAGATGTCTAGTCTTTTTCTCCTAGTTCACACGCCCACCAACCAGCCCTCCCAGACTTTACCCTACCAACCTTTTCTGATTGGGATGTGCAAGTCCTAGCCTGCTCCTAGTGTGAAACACCAGGCGCTCTTCCACATTAATAGTTTGGTGCTGCTTTGCAAAGACTCGTGAAAAGCTGCGAATTTGCAGTCATGGCGCATACATGGGACATGGTCTTCCCGAGGACTTTTTCGTGTATTTGTGCTATTGTTTCTGTTATCGTTTTGCTATCGTTTTGGAATCCCAAGTATTCACCCATTTTGGTGGCCTTGAACGTAGTATTTTCCGTGTCCGCTACCAAGCTACCAATGCAACCCTGTGACTCGGACATGTAGACATCTTTCGTATGAGAAAGGTCGCCTAAAAGACACCTGAATCACAATTAAACTGAACTGTTTTTTTCCCACGCTCCCAACAAAATGAGCGATTCGCTGTAGCTTTCGCTGTAGCGAAACGCTCAACACAAGCATTTTCCTTGGGAAAACGTGGGAAATTATATGCACCGACAAAGACACGTCTAAAACACATCTTTTGTAAATACCAATTAAACATCAACAGACCAGAACACCACCAGAAGAACCAAACAAGCATACAGTTGCAGGGCGGCCTATCAAACGCGTCCTTTGTTTTTCATCGGTTTGTGTGAGGCTGCTATAATTGCTGCTGATCTAGTTGGATGGTTTATCAATGGTTCGTTTCATTGCAGACTCCATAAATATGAACAACTAACCAACTTGTTCGACCATTTGTTCCTGGATGTTCCTGATTTGGGTCCAAGTACTTACTTAGAACTGTAATGAGGCCACTCAAAGAATGTGATACGCCTACAATAAAGGAGTCTCAAAGGACCTCAGAAAATGGGTACAAGTTAGTACCTGCTTTTACGGGGTCATGTCCCATTTTCGAGGGTAATTTGGAGGGTCCAGGTACAGAAAATATTACTTCATACTACTTCCATACTTGTCCAAGGGGTCAATCTTCAGGGTTTGAGCCTTCGGCTTTCAAGGAGGGCGGGTAGATGGTTCGAGGATGACAGGGAAGCATAGAAGCACCATGAGGGTCCCTGCTGGAGAACCCATGCGAACTCCATTCACACCATGAGGGTTTGGACAACCTTGGTGAGAACGAATATCAGGCAATCAGTGGTAAAGATCTTGGAACTCCAAAAACCTTGTTTCCTTAAAGAGGTTGGGGGCCATCGCTACTAAGACTAGGTTGGAGGCGATTGCTACTAGGTTGGAGGCCATTGCTACTAGGCTGGAGGCCATTGCTATTAGGATGGAGGGTATTCAGGATCCGCTGGGCAACAGCGCTCGCCAGGCACCTGCACCTGTCTGCCCGAGCCACCAATGGACCAACGGAAGCCCTCGACCATCATGTGTTCGGGGACGTCACGTTCCTGGCATCGGCTGGGTTTTTGGGTGTTTGGTTCCCAGGTCTCGTCTCAGGTTTCAGCGATGGGCCCTGACCTGATGGGCTGGATGACCGTCGTAATCTGTGCACCTAAGTTGCAAGACAACTTATTTTTTCTCAGAATGTTAACCTCGACCCACACGCTTCAGCACTCATGGAACCTATACACCCATCCCAGTAGTCCAGCTACACTAGTGCAACAAGTCTCCAAGTCTCCGCCGTGGACGTCTTCACATCATGACGACTCAGTTGGTCACTTTACAAACCACATGTCAGACTCAGTCACCTCGCATTATCGGTGGCACTTCGCAGGCTCTGCGCCGCAAAGCAAAGAGCAATGGCGACAAACACATCCGGGGTGGACATAGATCGAACGAGCATCTGTACTGGTGCTGATGTCTTTTGGCAACAGCTTGAAAATTATCTGGCTTCGAAAGTAATCACCAGAGAATGACCAACCTGAAGAGGAATACAACTCAACAGAAAATATTTTAAACACATTAAAACACGAAGCCGAAGAAGTGATTCAAATTGTCATGTGTTGTTTGTTTTTGTTTGTTTCGTCCTTTGCTTCCTGGCTGATATCGCGGTTAGTATGGAATGTTGGGAATATTTGGGAATCTAGTTTTTTCTGCACGGCCTCTGGGAGATATCCCAATCTCCATGCCGGTCCATCAGTGCGCAGGTTGTGTCCGGCGAACATGGCTCCGCTGGCCTCTGCCTGGGTCATCCCTGCCACCGCGCAAGCGACAATTTTCGTGGACTCCTAAGGAGCGAGAAGGACCCGGAGAGGTTGGGTTTGGTGAGTTCCTCCATGGGAGTCCATGGGTTCAGTGAGATTCGACCCTAAAGCGCAGCCCTCTATAGGGTCATTGGAGCCCAAACCGTACCACCACACGTTCCTCTTGTGCATCCCAAGACACCGACTTCGGCATGCTCGCGGCGACGGTTTTGATGACCTGTGGGTCTGAAGGCCGCAGCAAAGTCTGAATGGATTGGCTCAAGTGAATGAAGAATATAGAGCAGTATGTTCTGACACGTACTGACCCTGGGTGGATAAATTGAAGTTGTTGAGGATCTTGAGCCAATACAGTAATATGCATCCGCTTACAGCGGAAAAAACCTTCAAGATAAGTTAGTTACATCACTACAACCAATCGGCATGCTCCTCAAAAAACCATGCACATGACAGCTGTGATGGATACAGTGATGGGCAACCAAAAGGATCACACCAGAGCAAGAACGAAAACCCCAGGTTGATTGGTCTACCCTATCTCAAATCTACGCTCTTCCATGCTGGCCGCCTCTTGTGACTCCCTTCTCAAGAAGTAGACTCAGAACTAGTGCTGTTGCTGTTTGCCGTGCTGCTGCCACCGCACTCTTCCACTCTCTGGCGCGAAGCACCGTGCCAACAAATTTCTGAAATCGCGCCGGATTCAAAAGAAATTCGTGGGACCCTGCAGCGGCACCCTGCAGCTGCGCCAGCATGCAGGCTCCAAAGCTCACACAGCCATACACATCTGGCAGCGGCACCCCACAGCGCAGGCTCGAAAGTGCACACGGCCATACACATCTGGCACGGCACCCTGCATCGCACCAACACCCAGGCTCCAAAGCGCACACAGGACCTCTTCCTACACTTGAAGCAAGAGCCCCAATTGCTCTCGCTATCTGGGAAGAAGCGAGGATGGGAAGCACTGTTCTGAGGTACTGTGGGAGTCATGAAGGCAAGTCTTGGGAAAATGCACGCGAGTATGGTTTAAGAATGGGAAAATGAGACCATCAGCTAAGTGCAAACATGATAGATATGGAAACACCACCTAGAGCACGAAAGGATTGAGCGACGTCTTTTTGCCCCGACATGGCAGCACTTGGCTGGCTGTGAACCCTGAACACGCCTTCTTCTTATACATGCTTGTTGAAGGGAATGGTATCGTTCCAGGGTATCTCCCTCTGGCACCGGCACCTGCACGCAGGAATCAGTGAAGGGTGCAAAGAGCTCGATGGGAACTCCATAACCTGCGCGACAATTCATCCGCCCGGTGCACCCAGGAGTTTTGTGGAGGCATCTTCCTGGGGAGCCTTGGCTGGCAAATCTCAGTACCTAGAAGCTGAATGACCTCTAGTTTGTAGTTTGGACCACTACCCCCCCAATATGATCTTTTCCTATTAAAGCAGGTCAAATGGGTTCCAGATTTTTCTAGGGCACTGAGGGTCTTCAGATTGACTTCCAACGGATAGGACTTCTGATCTGTCAAATTTCGCAAGTCAAGGCGGTTCAGTTCAAAAAAGAATCATAACTTTTAAGATGGTTGAACTTAAAGCCAAAACCATAGTCAATCCCAATTCCTGCTTCAGTGCAATCCTCGTGTCTTGGTTTTATGTCGCAGGGTGCATGGTGCTTCCAGAACTTCCATATGGCTCCACTTTATTAACGGCCAATCTCAGTTTGAAAAGTAGGCCAAAATTAAGAATGTATGCGACAGGTTTAAGTTTTAAGAAAACCACAAAGAAACACAAACAAACACACACACACATTGTGTGTGTGAACGCACATGTCATGCTGCCACCAGGTTCAACATAAAAAGGGATGCCAACCGCGCCGAGCCAACCACTATCCAAACATCAAATGTGTGAATCTGACGAACATCCAGAGCTTATGTCTAGTCAAGATTCTGTCAATCGCCCCTGCTTTCCACGCAAAGGAATCATAACTGCGGACAGTGCCCACCCAAAAGTTATGATTCTTAAACATGTTATAGTTTCCCCCCAAAAAGAATCATAACTGGTGACACAGCCCACCTAAAAGTTTTGATTCCAAAACAGTGTTATAGTTCCAAAAAAAACAAGAACCATAACTGGCAGCACTGGCTACCAACAAGTTATGATTCCCAAAAAAGTTATAGTTCCAAAAAGATAACCATAACTGGCTGCACTGGCTACCAAACAGTTACGATTCCAATATATTCCAAACAACAAAGTTATGATTCCCCAAAAAGTTATATATAGTTCCAAAAAAAGAACAATAACTTATGCTTTTCAAAAAGATGCATAGCCTAAATCTAACAACAACACATAGCTCAAAACTAGCAAACACCTTTGATCTTGAAAGGTTTTGGTTAGTTTTTGGCTATTGATTTCTTATTTTTTGTTTTTTTAATCATAAGTTACGGTTCCTTTTTTTTGGAACTATAACTCTTTTTGGAATCATAACTTTTTGGTAGCCAGCGCTGCCAGTTATATTTGTTTTTGAACTATAACTTTTTTGGGAATCATAACTGTTTGGTAGCCAGCGCTGCCAGGTATGGTTCTTTTTTGAAGTACAACTTTTTAGGAATGATAGCTTTTGTTTTGGAATTACAATCTTTTTTGTAGCCAGCGCTGCCAGTTATAGTTCCTTTTTTAAAACAATATATATATATAACATTTTTGGAATGATAGCTGATGTTTTGCAATGGCAAGAAGCAAAGACTTCAGCCTCCAAGTGAAAGGCCTTGCCTTTCAAACCTTTGTTGTTTGCGTGGTGTAGGGCAAGATGCTTGAGGGAAGCGTTTGTCACCCAACAAAGCCACGGAGCTGATGATAGACTGAAGGCAGAAGTCGCTAGTCACAGGAGAAAAAAAAGAGACAAGCTGGCTCACAGACTCACAGATGGCCCTGCGCCATGCGCAGTTTGTTGAACCCAGGGTTTGCTTGATTGGTATGTTTGCATTTTCCTGCAAGTTCCTACGTAGTATTTGTACAACGTTTCCTGAGTCCAAACTTCTGGATTCACCTTGCTGGTATCTTTCTGCGGGTTTGTAGGTTGTTTTTTGGGCACCTTTTCAAAAAAACTTATAAATATTTTTCAAACATAACTTTTGACTATAAACCCTGACCTGTGAAATTCTACATTCTGATCGTCCCTGGAGTTCTTGAGTATCAAAATATCAAAACAAGAAGAACGTAATATCCCCCTTGCAAGGGTGACAGGCTCAGTGACAGGTGTCTCCTAGTGACACACCAGGAACCGGCCTACTCCTCAGATATGCAACTGTCCCAGTGTGTCCAAATATTTCCAAGCCTTTGACACATGATATCATGTCCTGGAATGCTCATGCTTGCGTGGCATAGCGGCATGGCCTCTTCTTTGTGACCCTGAAATCCTCGACAAACTCGGGATGCGGTTTGACCAAGGTATTAATGACGAGGGCCATCTCCGGTTGCTTCGGCATTGCTTTCTCCACCGGGATCGCAATTGTTCACGCACGACTAATGAGACTGCCATGTTGGCATATATTGGAGTGGTTTTGGGGGGTCAATGGCATATATATACAAGGTGTGTCTGGGAATGGACATTTAGGACGCTCAACAGGAGGCCACATGCCCCAAAGCCTACATGTCGCAAGCCGAGGGCGGACAACTCGTCGACCATCTCCTGCACAGCCAGGCACAGCGAGAGTGAAGAGCTCCGAAGCACCCGAGGTCACCAGCAAATTCCAAGAGGTCTCTGACTTTGATGCACTTTATGCCTTGTTGATCTTCCAAGGAGTCTACAGTCAGTCTGTGCATTGTGTGCTGCTAGAGCCTCTCTAGGAGTATATAATATATATATATATTCCCATATATTCCCTCACAACCCCTGTTAGGTTTGAGCGGGATAAGACAGCACTGACAATCGAAACGTTCAATTCAAATTGGCTGGTTTTGGAAGCCTGTAAGCCATACAACGGGAAACATATTGCTTGATTTGCTTGAACAAGATTTTGGCCGGTACCCTGCAAACTTTGAACCCAGGCCAAGAATCCAATAAATTCTTTACTCACACTTTCTCCAACGCTGCAAACTTGTTGTATGTTGGTCCAACGTCCGTTTTATGCGACATCGCTGCATGTTCGTCCAAAACGATCCAAAACGGTCCAAGGCGAGGACTGGAGCCATGTTCTGAGGTGTTTTGGGACTTATGGTACTTATGTTGAACAAACATGATGTGATATGATATATATATATATGGTACCCGTACACACCCCAAGATCAGTCAGATGTTTATTCCCCCAAGATCAGTGGTTGATACATAGTATACTTAAAATGATATTGATGATATTGTTGAAATCTTATAAATGTCATGTATAGTGTTGGACACCTTAGTTTCTTTTTTTGACGGCAAGAACAGAACGAACTATAACAAACTTGTTTATAAACAAGAACTCGGTTACATCCAAGAACTTCTGCATACCGATCACAGATCTTCGCGGGGGGGTTATACCTGCAACCTCAAATGATCAAGTTTATGCATTTATCAATTCCTGTGCACTACACGTCTTTCAGGAAAAAAACACTGTCATTTGACATGCACGTTTTCTGATTGTGGCCCTTTGGGCTGTATTGGGTGGCACTTGTCCACTTCCGAAGCCTGTCATTCGGTGACAAATGAGAACATGCAGCTATGTCAAAAGCAAAGGAAATGCGTCCGCTGCTCCCTCAAGAGATTTGGAGCTTGTCAAACCGGCAGGGCTCCATTTTGTTGAAGAAAAGCCCCGCGTGACAAATTTGTTCTACCCGGAAAGGGAAATTCCCGTCAAATACACGTCTTTGCCAACACACATCTTTCCCTGTCCACTACCCTACAGTTACGAAGCTTATGAATCTGTGGTGGGACATGTTAGCCGGATGTGTCAGAGAGTGAGTTCAAGAACTGCGAGCCACAGAGTGAATCAAAGTGAAATGGGAGATTCGGAAGTTGAGCTGGAAGCGCAGGCTCCGGCGAGGAATGCACAATTGTGTTCAAGTGCACAGATTTCTGTAGAGTACACGGAAATCTCCTCCAATATCAAGTGCACAAAAAAAATTGCCCAATGAAAATGCAGGTATATATTATATATATATATTTATACATTGCTTACCTTGAATCACTCAAAGCCCACACCGATATGTTCGTCATACGTCTCAGACGCTCCTGTTTCGGCTTGTGAAACATGTCGTAAGAGGACTGCAGCACACGATCGGCGATGTAGTGCAACCGTGTCTGAGACCTCGAACGGCGGCAAACGCGCGTTGCGCACGGCGCATGGCGCACGGCAGCGGCAAAGAGACCATGCAAACCACCCATATTGGACCCAGTCAGCCTCATTCAGCATAGCCAAAATCCTCCCCACAAGCATCCGCAGGTCTAAGAAGTCCATGAAAGCGGAATTTTGACCGGATGTCTGACAACCTCAGATTTCCGTAATTTAAGTATCTAGATTTCTCTAAATGCACTGACGTATTTATTTGGAAAACCCAGGATTCATCAGTTTTAAAAGCAGGCAAATGCGAAATATAGAACTATAGTATAACAAACCCCCTCTTTCTCTCTATATATAAAAATTATACTTGATATAACAATTTGCTTACGAATCTCAACATTGCACAGAATTGACAACCAAACACAGAACACGGTCCCCTTATGAAATGGTTCTTCACAACATACGAGTTGAAGTGAACTCGCACGTGTGAAGCCCTCCACTCTCCCGAGGCCGTGACTGCTTGAAGATATCCTGACTGATTGCGCACTTGGCGAAGAAGTCGGTGTAGAGATCGTTCCGGAAGGTATTGAGGTGCCTCTGCTTGGTTTTCTCTGGTCACACTGGTCCATGAGGATCCGCTGGGTCTAGCATTCCTATAAAGGTCTAGCTGGGGCAAGAACACCTCTCCCAACCTGACTCTTGGTTCTGTCAACCTGACTCTTCTTGGCGCTGCGCTGAAGTTCCATCAGGAACCGTCTTGGGCCACCAAAAGTGGCCAAACATGGAAGAACACATCCCCCCAAAAGTCGTCCAACTTGGAAGTCGCCTTCATCGTGGCTAAAAAGCAAACGAGTGTTTTTTTCGCGATTCCCAAATCTGCGGACGTTGTCGTGTTTCTCTTCGGCCGTGGAGCTCTTCTTTCAACGCGCCAAAGAGCTGGGCATTGTAGACTTTAAAGGCCCTCACCTGCTCAAATGACCCGCAAGTGTACAGTCTCACATGTTCAAGAAAGAGTTTGGAGGGGAAATCACATGGCCAACACGACCCAAGTTGAGAGGGAAAAGTTGAAAAGGATCTTCTCTTGTGGAGAAATCCACCTGCCTTCTGCCTGTCTCTCTTCAACGTGCCATAAATTATGAACCTTCCGTGTCCCTCCCCCCTGAACACCTATCTCACGTCTGTCAAACTGGAGCTGGAATTAAACTGATCCCCTTCAAGGTACACCCACATAATCTTCATCAAAGTTTCTGCAGGGAAGTCTTCTGCCGCTACTGAAGGAAAGACGCTGGCATCAGCACCGTCTCATGCCCAAAAACAAGACTCTGACAGACTCTGCATGTTGCCTCCGTCTGCCAGTCTATTCAGCAACTGTCTTCAGCGCTTTCTCGAGAAAAGCGTTCATGCAGCATTTCTCGGCCATCGACGGGCGCGTTTGCTGAACTGCCGCAGTCGCCTGGATCGGTTACCTGGAGTCTCAAAGTACCTTAGAAAATGGGTACAGTCGTACCTGTTTTTATAGGATCATGTCCCATTTTCTATGGTTTACTTGAAGTCCAAAAACCGCTGACTGCTTTGAGCAATCCAAAAAGACCCCAAAAGCAGAATGGGTATTACAGGGTCACATGTTGCAATTCACTTTTCCTGCTACACCAACAGCTGGACCAATCTATATTATTAAATTATTGTTATTGTGTTATAGTTATCCTTGTTCTGTGGTCCCTTCGCAAACTTATTGCCTTCCAGTTCCTCCCAAAGGACTTGCCGCAACGCTGTCAGCATCCACCTTTGGGGACTGAAGAGCCTTCGACTTCTCCCCTCCTCCTCTCGCCAGCACGGCACGGAACCGTGCTCAGCACGGAACCGCTGGCCTTCGAAGAGGAATCGCTCAAGTTCCGGCTGATGGTTGCCCAAAGCCACTCCCAGGCCGTCTCGTGCGTGGTGCTCCACGTCTTCGGAAGCCTCGTTCCACGTCCGGTCCCGAAACTGGATGAATTTGGGTACGAAGCCTTGGAGAGAGGGGCTTTTGAACGGCTTTTTAAGGCGTGACCCCAAAAACAGCCTCAGAAGCATTGGTCAGTTCTCCTCAAAAGTGGCTTTTTCATGGACCCGATCGACGAATCGAGCTTCACTTCTTCATCTTGCCAAACTATACAGACCTTTCACTTGCAACCTGAATTATATAGTATATAACAATCATATATATATATAACAAATGCCCTCAGTGGGGACCTCTTGTCAACGCCCTAGCACAAAAAGCGCAACTACTCTTAAAACACCCTGTCACACGGGTGTTTCTGAAACAAAACGACAACACTTGGCAAAGCAAACACCCACATCCATGCATGTTTTTTTTTGGACTGCATTTTGGACCTGTACTTCTTGGGCTTTCGGCCACTTCAGTTGTGCGAATGGTCAGAAAGCCAGCCAGCCCGGCCCAAAACACTCCAAATGGCAGAGATCGGAGTGCTGCCAACATCACTGGCTTGAACTTGTCAAAGTCGATGGACTGCACAAGTTGTTCCCAAACAGATTCTTTTTTGCTCTTGCGATCGCCGAAGACTCTGTGGCCGCGTGGGCATCTGATTCTTAATTGGCATCCAAACAGATTCCCAACAAACACTCAGTCTTTAACACGACTGTCTCTCTTAACCCTAAACCCTAAAGCCTTAAAACCCTAAACCCTGGGGTGAAACATGAGAGACAGCACGGGAAAACGCCCTCAGGCGAACCAACTGCCATGGGTTCCCACACCTTGACTCTCCGGGTTGGGGGTACTACTAGTACGACTCACAAACACTGTTGCTGGGTCCAAAGACTCCGTCGATCTTCTGTGGATTTCCTCTTTGGGGATGTTGAACTTCCAAATTTTCTGACCTGCCTGCCTTGGTGTTGGGTGCTTTCGCTTGGACCTGCATTCCTACATGCCGCTGGATGTTCGATTTCTGGTGGGGCAGCCAGCAGGACAGTCACATCCCAGGAATTCCCCCTCAGAGTTCTTTCCCTACAAAAACAGTCCATGGCAGGCAAGACCTGCAAGCTAAAACAGCATCCACCATGAGCTGTGCCCGCTGTGCTTTGCCCCAAGTGCCACGACCCGTTTTCAAGTCCACAATAAAAAGAGGTTCTATTGAACAGATCAACAGGTGTCCTCCATGACGGACGCCCCCCCAAAAAAATACCGTTCGAGGGGAGATCTGTTCGGTGTCGACCCCGTTGGCAACCGACGCTCCGACGATGGTTTGGTCCTTCGGAGTTTCAGAGCCATGTGCGACGCACGAATCTCATTCATTACGATGAAGGCTCGCTTTTCAGGGGGAAAAATCCCCGGTTGACATGAGTCGACGGTCTGCAGTCCACAGAGTCGACAGTGGCACATGACACGCACTGGTGACTCGGCTGTAAAGGTCCGGGGATCTCCTTGCTCTTGGACTTGGCGACAAAGTTGATCGCAAGCAGCTCACACTCCTGTCACCCAGGTTTCGTCCAATAATTTGAAAGATAATGATCTATGATACTTTACATGGTGCCCCCAAACAAAAACCTACATGTTGTGTAATGTTTCAAATTGTTAACAGTGTTTGTCGAAGTTTTAGGGGTGTTATTTGTTGACTGTTGTTTTTTGTATGTTGATGCTTATGAAAGAGGAGGGACCATATATATATATATACACCTTGGATCCTTGGATACTTAGACGTCTTGACAAGCAACTGACTGTCTTAAGACCTTTCTATATACACTAAAATGATCTAAGATCCGAGATTATTCAAAAGTTTTTGGGCCTTGGGGAATCTTAGATAGTTGAACATGAAGGGTTTTAAGACTTAAGACCTTCCTAAACAACCACATGTTGTCAATAAAGTCTCTAGAGTAAAATTTCCATAGAAGGTCTTTGTAGTGCAATTTTTGTTTGTACCTTGCTCACATTCGTTCCTACAAAGATATAAAGATACTTCACTAGTTTGCAGCCCTGGGTCAGACAGCACTGAGGACATCCCTTTTAGGACATCCCTTCTTGCATTCGGCTCCACAAGTAGATGAACAATCTGCAGAAGTAAGAAGTAACATTCTCTATATAAGAGAGGTCCATGGTTCTTATGTACAAAAACTATAAACTATAATGAACTATATATATTTTAGTGTGTTCCGTCGCCTAAGTACAGCAAGTAAGATTCTCTACGTCTGCCAAAGTCCTGTGCAATTGCATTGTTTTTTCCCGAATGCGTAGCAAAGGGCTCTCGTTTATAGTGGGGGTCTGGGGGTTGGACTGTCTTCGCCTCACGTGCTCTGCGTCGTCGTTTGTCATCGTCGTGTGGTCCCTGTCGTCGTCGTGAGGTTGCTATTTTGTCCCCATAGGCGAAGCTTTTGGAGAAGTTTGTCGCTGGAGGGTGATCATCAGATTCGTCGCAAATACCGTGGTTTTGGGATGTTGGATTTGGGAGGATGAATTCACTGCGCAGGCGCGGCGTTTTGTGAGATCCGCAGTTTTCTGCGCAGTCAGATTGGGATTGGCGTTTAGAGGGTGGTGTCTTTGAGGTGTTGGATGTGGCTGTGACATTGGGATTTGCGTTTCAGGCTGTTGCATCGAAGCTGTGTTTCCGTGACAGATCTCAGCTAAAATGACAATTTTGGTGGATGGGAGTGTGCTCAGAACGTGTCGAAATCATTCCAAACGTGTGGTGTGGTGCAATTTAGGTTGAAGCTAACATGATATGATATTGTGACTCCTCGTGGCAGGCACAGTACTTTGTGCGGGCTCTGAAGTGCGGAAGTGCGATTTGCGTGCAGGGAATCGTGAGGTTGCAAGGCGTGGTGGAGGTGAATGTCACTGTGACATGGGGATTGGCGTGTGGGCGGGTGTTGTTTGGAGGGGCTGGAATCGCGAAAGTGCTTGGCAGGGCTGCTTGATGTGTGTGCTCCGATGGAGCTTCCCGCTTGGCTTTTGGAGGATCGTCTCATACGAAATGCTCGTTTTGGAGACTTGGCGTGCGACTTTGGTGGAAGTCTCGTTCGAAACACTCGTTTTGAAGACTTGACGCGTGACTTTTGGAGGAAGTCTCGTACGAAACGCTTGTTTTGCAGACTTCAAGTGTGGGTTTTTGAGGAAGTCTCGTGCAAAATGCGCGTTTTGGAGACTTTGACATGTCACTTTTGGATGATGTCTCGCACGAAACGCTCGTTTTGGAGACTTGACGCGTGACTTTTGAACGGGACGTCTCGTGCGAAACGCTCGTTTTGGTGACTTGACGCGTGAGTTTTTGAAGAAGTCTCGCCCGAAACGCTTGTCTTGTACACTTGATGTGTAACTTTTGGAGTGAATCTCGCACGAAACGCTCGCTCTGTAGACTTGACGTGTGACTTTTGGAAGAAATCTCGCACGAAGCGCTCGTTCTGGAGACGTGACGGTTGACTTTTGGAGACTAATTTTGTCCCGCAAGAGTGTCCGACAAGAGTGTTGTACAAGAGTGCGCCGCAAGAGTGTCCCACAAGAGTGACCGACAAGACTGTCCTACAAGAGTGTCCCACAAGACTGTCCCACAAGAGTCCCACAAGAACATCCAACAAGAGTGTCCTACAAGAGTGTCCCGCAAGAGTGTCATACAAGAGAGTTCCGCAAAAGTGTCCAACAAGAGTGTCCTACGAGAGTGTCCCACAAGAGTGACATACAAGAAAGTCCCACAAGAGTGTCGTAAAGATGAGTGTCCCACGAGAGTGTTCCACAAGAGTGTCCGGCAAGAGTGTCCTACAAGAGTTTCCCTACAAGGGAACCCCTCAAGAGTGTCCTACAAGAGTATTCCGCAAGAGGGTTCCACAAAAGTGCCCCACAAGAGTGTCCGACAAGAGTGTCCTACAAGAGTGCCCCACAAGAGTGTCCGACAAGAGTGTCCTACGAGAGTCTCTCACAAGACCGACACACAAGAGTGTCCCACAAGAGTGTCCTACAAGAGTCTTTCCCAAGGGTGTCTGACAAGAGTGTCCCGCAAGAGCGCCCCGCTAGAGTGAGTGTCATACAAGAGTGCCTCACAAGAGTAACAAACGAGAGTGTCCCACAAGAGTGTCCCGCAAGAGTGTCCCACGGGAGTGTCCTACAAGAGTGTCCTACAAGAGCGCCTCACGAAAGTGTCCTACAAGAGTGTCCTGCAAGGATGTCCCACAAGAGTGTTCTACAGGAGTGCCTCACAAGAGTGTCCTTCGAGAGCGTCCCACAAGAGTGACATACAAGAGTGTCCCACAAGAGTGTGCTACAAGACTGTTTGCAAGAGT